TAACGTAGTTCTTCATATACTCCACAATCACCACAACCCTCATATCAATCTAACTTTCACCATGAAACCCCAAATATGTGAATTCAATCATACTTTCTTTCTCCATATACTTCACAACCAACACAATCAGTATTTTATTCTAACTTTACCTAGGAAACTAAAAATATGTGAATTCACTTTTCTATAATTCTTCATATATTCTATCATCACCAGAGCCAGTATATCATTTCAATTTGATGCATAGGACTAGGAATAAACGAGTTCCCTATTTTATAGTTCTCCATATATTCCACCGTCACAATCGCTAGGATACCGCTCTAATTTCGCGCATGGTACGAAGAATATGTGGCTTCACTGTTTCAAAGCTGTCCATATGCTCCGTAATTACCCAAATTAATATGTCATTTTGATTTAGCGAATCAGACTAAGAATATATGAATTCACTATTCCGCTGGCATCCTTATATTTCCTAATCAGCACAATCAGTGTATCATTCTCACTTCAAGTAGAAGACAAAGTATATCTGAATTGAAGGTAGCGTAGTTCTCCATATGCTCCACAATCACCAAAATTTATATATCATTTTAGCTTATAGCTTGTGGCTAGGTGTATGTGAATTCACGGTATGGTAGCTCTCCACAAACTCTACAATCGTCACATCAATCGTGCCATTGTTACTTCAAGGAGAAGACTAAATGTATATGAATTCACTATACGTTAGTGGTAGTTTAAAACTCGAGTACTCTACTCGTATTTTACATGTATAACATACTAATGCTACAGTACATCTTGCGAGAACTTTGAATAAATTTTGTATTCTAGTATTTAAGTTAAGTTTTTCAATGACTTTAATTAATAGCGGTCCACAGCCTGTTTTCTTATTGAAAGCTGATCTAAACCATTTTTTATTCTGTATTATATAATTCATCTGTTTGAAAATCATATTTTGTTATTAAAACATATCCTGATCTAAAACAAATGGACAATTCATTTCTAAGTAAGTACTGTGAATACTCTATAATGTATCTATGTTTAGATATATATTTCTATTTCAATTTTGATAGTTCAATCAGAAAATAATTTAACTGCTTCTAATAATGCATTACGCATGCAAGATAATCAATATCATGTATCAGTTCAAGTCATTGATATACAATCAACAGCAAACAATATGATTGATATTGATCAATGTTTGGCCATTGGTAATAATTATAGTAATAATATCGCATAAAATAGAAAATTTATATAAAAACTGCCTGTTGTTAGGTTAGGATTCCATATGTTCTACTTGTACTAGATATATTTCGAACTAAATGTAATAATTATTAAGAATCCTAAAGGTTGATTGTAAATCTCACATAACTCTGTTAGCATTTGTGATGAATTACCCGATGCTAAACTAGAGATTCAATTGATCTTTTTAGTCTAACTGGCTTAGGACATCTGTCCGGATAGCAGAAGATGCGGGTTCGAGTCCCACAAAGATCATCTTTTTCTCCATTTCTTTTCCTCTTGTTCTCTTTCGCTGATGCCCTATCCATTGCTCTAATATGAAGCTAACAAACTCAATAACAAGAAAAAAAGTTTTCAGCTCAAAATAAAAGAAATTATGATATTTTTCATAAAATATTCGATTATTTAACTATAATAAAAGCCATTCGTTCTATTTAGATACAATCAATTTTAGTTCAACGGTTTATCCCGTATCAACAAAACAAAGTGGTAATCACACACATGCAATTTTAAGAAATAATTGCTAACAATTCATCTCCAATAAAACTAAAATGAACTTTGACAAAGTATAACTTTTATAATGAACGACACATTACCACATCTTTTCTTGTTAATTCTTTTTTTATATGCAATCAAACAAATTGTAACAAAAATGTCATATGTATCTATTTTTATATGATTATTTATATTTTTTTTTCATTTAAAAAAGAATAAAAAAAAAATACGATTCAAAATATCAACCACGTGCTTTTTATCATATAATAAAACATCCTAAAGCAACAGAACGGACAAAATTTACGTATATAGTCGAAGCAAACATTTGCGTTCTGTATCATATAAAAACGTGTAGATTTCGTTAGTAAAATATATCTTTCATCTATTTGTATAGTTATGTTCAAAAAAAAAACGTTATCATCTACTATTTGTTTAAATATGAACGATAGTAGTAGACAAAATATTAGGGAATATATTAAACGGTCAGTAAAAAATATGGAAATGGTCAGTAAATATACTGATTAATCAGTATTGAAAATCGCAGTAGATATTTATGAAGTGGTCAGTTTATTTGCTGTAAGTAACAGTAAAAATATATGATTTATACCAGTAGAAAAAAGAAATTTGGTCAATAGAAAAATTATTGGTCTTGTCGTTGATAAGTAGGAGAAGATGATAGTTTGAAAGCTTAATAATATTTTGTTTTTTTAAGAAGAAAACGCAAGTATTTATAGGACAAGAAATGGTTATTTGGATTATTCCCATCTCGTATAGTATAACATATTCTAGGAAAAATACTTGAGTGATATTCTTTAATTCATCACTTGGAAATAACATACTTTAATATATGTCAAAAGATCAGAAGAAAAACGCATTAATAAAACGAAAGGAAAAATCCCATATGATCATATATATGAAGGAAAATATCATATAGATATACATGTAAAGGAAAGAAAAAAACATGAAGTGGACAGCACTACGAAAAATATTAATTTTTGTACTTTCCACTTCATTTTACTAACTGATAAAAAAAGCTTATCTACTGACTATTCAGTATATTTACTGACTTTTCATTTTTTCTATTTACTGACCACTTAAATGACACCCAAAATATTATAACCAAGACATATTTGTATGCATGATTTCTTTCCAGTAAAATAATAAAGACGTTATAATATTGAAAAAAACTGTTCTTTTATTATACTTGTGATAGACTACAATTAATTCCATTTGTGAGTAAAATTTTTTTTGTAAAAACACAGAATATAAATATTTGATTTTATACACAATTTTTTGTTGAGAAATATAACGAAGTTTACTTATTGTGACTATTTCAGGAAGATATCTGTTTTTAGAATATAGGCATGAAAATCTACTCGTTTCTTCTGACGTGCTATTTTTTCAAAAGTTCCATAAATTAATAGAACATTTTCTCTCCTAATCTACCTCATTCAAAGCATATTATTTCGGTACAAAAGTAATATAAAATAAGTATTCAACGTTCTGTTTACTCACATATATATATTTTATTTAAAAAAAAAAGTAAAATGAGATCATGTTATTAGATATATTATTTCAACCACAAGTTGCTTGTTTATATTTGAGAGCTTGTTGTTTATATTCTTCGGCATATTTTAAATATAGATCTGCTTGTTCACGTGAATTACTTTCTAAATCATTCCATAATCGTTCTAAAAGATCATCTCCATGATCGAATATCATTAATTTATCACGGTAAGCCATTGCCCATCTCACATAAGTAGATACCGATCCACAAAAAAGAAAAATTTGTACAAGATTCGAACAATTATAAATATCTGGAATGACTAATTTGGCAAGTGCACCTGAGACGATAAGATAAATTAATTCATTTGAATGTGATTTAATGTATTTAATACAATCATTAACATCAGTAAATGCTTGAGCGTCTCCTAGTTTCGTACGAAAACTACTTTTTGGATCTGACGAATTTGTATCAAGCCAAATAATAGTATGTTTTGTCATCATCATTGTTTTGTTTGCTTGAGCGAAATACTAGAGAAATAATGCTTATACTGCATGTTTCACTTCGTATTTATTCATTGTCGATGGGATATACCAAACGACGCAATATCCATTCTTTTTTTTCTAAACTGATAAAGGTTTTTTCCTTTTTCTGTTTATAAGGTGGTTTTTTCCTAGTACAAAACAAAAAAAAACATGACGAAATATGACTCATCACTATTACCATATAGGGATGACAAACATTTTTCCCGGGGTAGAAATTTGTCACTATGTTTTCTTTACACTTTTTTTATGGTTCCATTGTATTATTCTATATACTGACCTTCTGTTTTTTCTCTTTACTTAACATTATAACGATATTTTTGCCATATGAATGAAATAAACAATATATACTAGACGATGTAGAGAATACAATAAGATAAATATACTCAGATTTTCTCGTATACAAATAATAGTAAGAGTTTGAAATAAGAAAAATCGTGACGTTCGAGTACTTTCAAGAATGTGATGAATAAATGTAACAGTTTGCGTGAATAATAGCGGCACATGTACAAGCTACTTCCTTTTTTTCGATTTGTTGTTTGAATGACTCATCTCGTATATATAGTTTTAGGCTACAGATGATCAATCGTATTTTTCGAATTTGATTTAATCTTATATAAGAAAGTTCAAATTCTTTTTTGTACTACATAAAATTAAGAATTACCTTGACATCCATAACATTTAATGAAAGAAGGTTAAGCCATTAAATTTTCCTTATATTTCAATGATAAAAAAAAAATTCGATATTTTATTACATAGAATCAGAAAAATCTTAATTTGTAGCATGAGGATACAATGGAAGAAAAAAATTTTGTTTATATTTTTGATATTCATGAAGTCGAGTTTCACCATATTTAATATAATCAAATGTTGAGTTCGATTTATTAAGTAATCCTTGTATAAAAGCCCATAAAGCCCAATATAAATGAATAGGTGCAATAAGTAAACCACATAAATCACACAAACGTTCTAATTCCATATCAGTTGGTTTCAAATGATCATAAACAAGACTAGATAAATTTAATGATGTTTGTTTAAGATATTCAATTAAAAATAATTTTTGAATATGACGTTCAGGATATTTATTTTCTGAATTATTTCGAGTTAATTCAAGAAAATATGAAACAATATCAAAAAGGAAATAATTATTTAAACAGTGAGCAAAATCAATAATCGTTGCTGTTTTAGTTATTGAATTATATAGAAAATTATCGATATGAAGATTATTAAGACATAAAACAATTGGTAAATTATGTTTTGACCAATGTTCATTTAGAACAGTGCGTATAAAATTAATTTCGGTTGACAGTTCAGCCCATGATGTATCTTTTAATTGTAATTCAAGTTGATCTAATGTTTCAATTTGAATAGTATTTAAACCAATAGCAGATTTTAATGAAGATAAAAATGTTGGATTATCTTCATGTGGTTCTTTTAATTTTTCGTCTAAGGTAACATTTTTCTTAGTAAATAAATCAATAAATTGTTGAAGTTTATCAATAAAATCGATACTATTTGTAGATTTTAATGGAAATGAATGAAATTCAGCCAATTTATGAGCGATTAATTGACTAATTTTAAGAAAAAAAAACAATAAAATATATATTTAAATTCTAAATAAACTTACGGAGTATGTTCATCGTTTGTATCTAATATATTTCCATGAATATAATTAGAAAAATAACCATTATTAAATGTTAATAAAAGACGTGGAGCTATTCCATGATGAATAAATTCATTCATTAATTCAAGTTCTTTTTTATGATCAGTATATACATCGGAATTTACTGAATAAATTTTAATAACAATACCAGATTGTTCGTCATCAGTATCACTTGGATAAATTGAATAATAAGTATTATTAAAATCAGTACCTAATTTTTTAAAAATTAAATTTTTCTTTATCCAAGTTGGTTTAATCAAACAAATAAGACGACTAGCACTTAATTCTAATGAACCAATATCAATTTCAATTGATTCATGAGGTATATTTGATATACTAGACATAATTTCGATAATTAACATAAACGTAGAAGTTTATACATATATATGTATGTATTAAAAATCAATCATGTGTAACGGAATACAAGGACACATAAGCAATAATATGAATGTATTCACGTCAACATATACTTTGTACTTTGAACTGAGTTAAACCATATGTATCCCATATATTTTAGTAAAATAAAAAAATCAAATTGTGATGTATTGACATTATCCTATGATCACATCGTTTTTAGAATAAATGAATTCGTTAAATAAAATATTCTAAACTCGGAAGCAGTATTACTCATTCCACTAACTATTTTATTATTAGTAATGATTTTAATATACTTATTAATCAACAATAACTAGAATATTGTATCAATGAAACGTTTTACTGGTAAAAATCTAGTTGTACCATGGATCTATTCACGTTAAATAATTAAAAGTTATAGACATTTATAATAAGAGATTCCGTATGTTTAACATGTTTATATTGAGATTTAATTCTATCTATCTTGTAATTCTTATATGGAAGAAAAAAAATGTATTAGTACATATCTTATGACTAATATGGCTGTCGTTTCTCTTCGCATATATTAGAAAACATTAACATTCTTGGCAATCAGAAATCCAGATGATACGTTGACTGTGACAGTGTATGTTTCATAGCATTACAATTTAATCATTTCCTGCCATATGTTCTCAAATAAATATTCTGAATTGATCTTAGATCAGCTCAATAAAATATAGCAAATTGATTAGTATAATCGACCTTTTCTATTCGCGTGCATAAGTAAAAATGTGTTTTAAACTTACAGCATAAAATTTGCCACAACTAATACCTTCAGATAATTATCTATTACTTAAAATAATAAAAACAAATTTATTTTATTTAAAATAAAAATATTATCTTGAATAAATTATTTTTACATAAATATGTTATTTTATTTTGTATAGGAATTTAACGTTTGCCGTAATATATCTGGACGATCAGTAAATAAAATATCAACACCGAGTTCAATCATTTCTTTTTGAATTTTTGGATCATCAAGAAGTGAACCAACTATCGCTAATGGTTTTCCTGTTTTATGTATTGTATCAATTAAATGTTGTGTTAATATCGATCGTGTATGTGATTCAAGAAACAATCCAAGAATATCATGTTCAAATGGATAATTTTCATTAAGTTGTCCTTGTTTATAAGCTTGAAAAATTTTCAACATTGTTTCTGTATCAGCACAAATTGGGATTGAAGAAGGTTTTTGTTTTTGTACTTCTTTATTTATAAGTCGATCAATTGCACCGAATATAACACGATTTTCAATTTGATATTTTTCAATAGTTTTCATTGTTAATGGAATAGCATTGATATCTTTCATATCAAAGAAAAAAACTAGAGATGGTATTGAAATAAATTCATCTAAAGAGCAAAAAAACAATACTTTTATATGAATAAAATATTTTGTAAACAGACTTAGAGCTTGATCAAGTGTTATTAATTGTGAATCGATTTGTTGTAATTTTTGAAGTGTATTTTGATTAATATATAATCCATTAATAATTCCATCATGATTAAGAACAAGATGTTCATCATTCGTTTTCCATATATCTATTTCAAGAATCTCTGTTTGAGCTTCATAAACAGCTCGACGATATGTTTCAAGGCTATTCTCTTTTCCCCAATGTCGTCCACCACGATGTGATCCATGAATAGGTAATGATGTAGAAATAAATTTAGCAAAAACCGGAAAATGACTTGATAATTTTACACGTGATAACATTCTTTTTTCTATTATGATTTATTTTTTTTAATATTAGATTGTTGAAGATCAATGAGATTTATTGAGATGTCGCTTTAAAAGAGATGACAGTACTATCATCTTTGATAATAAATAATCAATTCATTTTAAAAAACATATGAGGAATTTTTTTTTGTTCTTTCTATTCTATCCTAATTTTTGACGACACAAAAAAAAGAAAATAATTTTCATAGTATAATATATATTTAATAAATTAAAAAATAAAAAAAAACGTCCTTTTTTTTGTAATTTAATTTCAAAATCTATATGTCGTCAAAATAAAGACAACAAAAAAACCACTGATGTCAATGTCACGTATGATTTATTCTCTTAATTGTTTGATGCGTGACAAATAATAAATAAGGGATAAATGCTTGATATTGTTCAAATGATCGATGTTAGGATTTAAACAAATATTCATATGACGATAATGAAACGGTCACCGGATAGAAAAAGAAGAAGCAAAAAAAAAAGAAAAAAAAAAACAACACACATCACAAATTGGGCAAGTCATGAATATCAAAAGAACAATCTCCAAATGTCGTTCGTTCAAAATCAAGTATTGCTTCAACATCTAAATCAAATGTTGAACTTGGGATTGGATTTTGTGAATTATTTGGTAATTCTAAATCCATTGATGGTGCTGATATTTGATTAAATAATAAATTTGTTGATGGTGATGGTGATGGTGATGGAATTGATGGAGGAGTTGAAAGAATTTTTCGTCTTTCATTATTTGATTTTGATTTATTCATCTGATGACGCATTATCGCTACAACCATTCGACGAAATAATGGACTTGAACGATCCATTGTTTTTAATTGTTTACTTAATTTTGATGATATCATTTGATCGATTTCATAATCACTATGAGATGGTGAAGGAGATTGTGAACTACCTGATGGAGATTTTGATAATGATGAATATGCACTATCAATACCTTGAAAAATAATTTTATTTTTTTATTTAGTTTTTTTTATTCATATTTATTATTAAAATAAAACAAACCTGGATTAAAATTATTGTCATTATTATTTGATGTCGATGGTGGTGATGATTTGAGCATATCATGTAAAATATTTGGCATTGGCTGTGTTGATGAATAAGATTGATCTTGTGAATTATTTTGTAAAAGATTATATAGATTTTTATTCATATCTCTAACAGATGTAAATGATCGTTGAGTTGATGTTGATGTTGATGTTGATGAATAAATATCATTTGATGATGAAGGAATTTGTTCATTAGAAAATAAATAATCAAATGATGATGGATTTGAATTATCATTTGATATTGTTTTAGTTAAACGACGTCGTTCACTTTTAGTCGAATTATCATTAGATTGTACTCGTCGGCGACCACGAACTTGTTTGGCTCGTGGATCAATTGTCCACCAACTTGATTTACCTGCAATTTCATTTGGGATACGAACAAATCGATTATGTAAGGATAAATTATGACGAATGGAGTTCTAAAAATAACAACAAAAAAAATACCTCTTTTTTTCTCAAGAACAAATTCTTTTGCTAATACCTTCCATCCTGTACTACTTTTTCTATCTCCTTTATCTCGAAAATAAGGTACATATTGAATCATCCATGAATATATTTGTGAAAGTGTTAATCGTTTATCTTGACTATTTTCAATGGCTTTAGCAATTAATTCGGCATATGATAAATTTCCCCATGCATTCTTTCTTGATGTTTGAGGATCTTTAAGACCAAGTTCTTTTTCAATTAATAATGCTAATCTTGGATCATATTCAACTGTTGTACGACAATTACTTGTCGATGTTGCTTCTAATTGATCATCTGAAGGAAAATCTTCATCTTTAACAACTTGTTCACAAAAATCATCCATAAATGTTGAATGATAATTTGGTGTTGTACTATTAAAAGATGATGTATATAAGTGTTTATCATTTGAATTTTCATCAAATTCATCAACAAGAACTGATGAAGAACTTGCAAGCATTGATTTGACCTATAAAAATCAATTGATTTCCCGTAGTTTATTTTCGTCAAATAATTAAAAGATTCTATAACCTATTTAATATGTTCATCGAAATATAGTTTTTGTCTGTTATAATAATTTGATCTCTTGATGAGATTTGTTACCATTTTTGAGAAGAAATAATGAAACAGCTGGTGTATGGGATTATAACTCATTTCCTTTTTTTCTTCTTCTTCTCTCTTAATCAAAGAGTAATGTATTATGTAAAATAGAACATTTTTTTCTTTCTTTTTCCCTTCTATCATAAAAGAAAATAACTAAATATATATAATACATTGATTTTTATCTTTCTTAATATATCCCTTATTAGAATATGATTACCAAATTTAGATACTTTTGTTTTCTTTTTTTAATATTTTGTGTATTTATCTTTGGAATAAGAAACGAAGAGAAGAAAAAAAAGAAGAAAAATATGATGTATTTGTTGTTTTCATTTTATATAAAATAAGAGAAATCTCTTCAAAGTTACTGAATGAAGAACGACCTTGAGTAGGACATATGCTTATATCTTATGTAAATGATTAACGTTTGTTCTTCAATCACTTAGATGTTTAAGAAGTAAAGTTGATTTTTCTATTTTGTTGATTAAAAAATCATTCTTTTTTTCTCTATTTCAAAGATTGTCTTTGTCCATTTGAAGGTCTTTGTTGATGACATAAGAACGGCCTTGAAGAGCTGATGTACTCGTGCTTTTAATAAACGGCCTTGTTCGTTCTTCTTTCTTTCTTTCTTTCTCATCGGCGCGTCATGCGCAAACAATTCTTGAGCTCAAGGCCAAGCGACGCGCCACAGAATAACATGAATTTATGTTCAAGGTTTTTATACAAAAAAAGATTCATCTAAGATCTTCTTTTTTTGGTTTTACAAAATCTTCTTTCATATTCAATTCAAATAGAAATAAAACAAAATTCTTTTAACTTACTTATTTGACGACAACCAAGAAAAATAAGGTTTTTTTTTTGACTAAATTAACACAAATAAGAAAAAAATTTCGACAAAAAAAATATATATATTGAATATCGATGCAATGATTTGTAATTACATTTATTAATCTGAAATAGAAAAGATAGTCACTGGTCGAATCGAAGAATATTTTTTAAGATATTAAAGTTTGCTTGACCTTGTCGTTCAAGGCCAGCAAAGCTCGACAACAATTGCATAGAACGTATGAGAGTCGTCACTGCTAGCGGCTCCCAGACGCTGACAGTCCTTGAACAAGAACGACGACGGCGTTGGTGGTGGCAGCCAACGATAGAGAGGGAGGGAGGGAGGGAGAGAGACCGTCTTTTGGAGAGACAACTTATTTTGCGTTTCTTCTCTCGTTTTTTTTCTCTTTTCTATCAGCAGTGATGAAGGGAAAAGGAAAAAAGAAGACGAGACTAAATCGTTGCCTGACTCTCTATTTTTCTCTCCCTCTTTACGTCTTTCTCCCTCTCTCTCTCCCTCTCCCGCTCTCTCTCTCTCTTTCGTTTGTCATTGTCGTGTCGAGCTCATTAGTAATGGTGACCAATATAGTGAGAGTAAAGAAGAATGGATAAAAACCTTTTTTTTGTCTGCAATAGTACACTAGAAGATAGCGAGAAACGACCTTGGAATGCATAACGAGTCGTTGTCGAAGGTCTTTCTGCTTGACGCGTATAATCATTGTTGACGTCGTTGATGAGGATGATACTCGATTACTTTACTCTCTTTCTTCATTCACTTCGTCTTTTTCTTCTCTCTCTTTCGCTCTACCGATGTTTCGATTGATGAGAAAGAAGAAAAAAAAGAGAACGATCATCTGACACCCTTGCCGTGTGCATGTAAAGCTTCTTTATCGTCACCAGACCATCATTTATTACTCCACTATTTCTTATTCAATATGAGAATAGACACTATCGTTCTATTTATATATATATATATATATACTAATCGACATGGGTGACAATATTAGGAAAAAAAAAGAAATATCATATCAAATCAATCATTAACCTTTCTTAATTAATAACATGATGAGAATATAAAATATTTTCTTTAATTAGAATATCAAAACTTTTAATAGAGAACAAAATAAAATATACAATCAATAAATTTAATTGCCTATTAATATACATTTATTCCGTATGAAAATATCAGATGGAATTTGATGAATATCTTCTCTTGTATTTATATATATATTTGAAATTTTCAATGAACTACAACTTGTCAATAGAATTGAACAGTCTATCATATATATATACTTGACAGATATCTTTATATCAAAAAATCTTCTTTATAAATTATATGAAATCAATTTAAAAAATATCTTATATTTTTAAAAAACGAATATTACAAAAAACTGTTTTTATTTACAAGGAAGTCATTTGTTGCTGCTTAAATTTATACAATAGAAAAAAAACAGAGTTGTTCTTAGATATTATCCACTAGTTTCTCCTGTTGATCGTTGTCGAAGGATGGTTGATTGAGTAAAAAGTTTATATTCCTGATGAAATGTTTTTGAAAGATTATTTATACTAATTCTTCGCTGTGCAAGAAAAAGTAAACATAATGTTTTCAAGGTCGGAGCTTTAAAATAAAATAAAAAACAAAACATTCATTTTAAAAAATAAATCATTAAAACGAAATTTACCAAAATCAAAAACATATAGATCACTTTGATCATAAAGACCTGTTCGAATTCCATTTGTATCTTCCATGTCATGTAAATTAGTTAAAGATACTGGACTTGTTCCACCAAACATATACATTCTATGATCAATTACAAGACAACATTGTCGACGACGAGGAACTGGATTTATAATACCATGAGGTTTTATTCGACGCCATAACGATGTTAAAGGATTAAATTCATGTAAATCATTAAAATGTGTATCTATTACATTATTATATCCACCAAATATATACAATTTTCCATTATGAGTAACTAAATAAATAAAAATAAAAGAATAGAAATTAATTTAAAGAAAAAAAAGTTGAAACATACATGCAGAATGTGATCTTCTTCCATATAGTATTTGTCCTTGAGGTGTAAGATCTAACCATGAATTATCATTTGGATTAAAAATATGAAGATGATTATCATAAAAATTTTGTAGTATTTGTTGTGGTCCAATTTGATCAAATCTTCCACCAAATATATACATTCGATTATCAATATTTGTTGCTGAATGAAAATCTCGACATTGAGGAACTTGATCTATATCCTTTAATGAAAAGTAAAAATCAATGTAGAAAAAACAAACAAAATTCAATACTTTTGGAAGACATATATGCCAAGATGATTTGTTAAAATCAAAATAAAATAGATCATTGCAAAATTGTTGACTCTAATTATATAATAATAGTAATAATAATAATGAAAATGAAAAAAGGAAAATTTTACATGATCTTCAAATCCAGCAAATATATACATTCGATCATTAATAACACATGCTGAATGACCATCACGAGCTGTTGGAATAAAATCACCCATAATACATACACGCGACCATTGAAGAGTTTCTTTAAAATTTATTATTTTACAAAATAAATTTTTATTATAAAATATTTACCAGGATCAAAACAAAACAAACGATTACATGCACCTGGATGATCATTTCGTCCACCCCATAAATAAAATTTACGTTTATAAACAACAACTGTATGTCCATATCGTGAAAATGGTGCATCATCATATTTTAAATCAGTTTTTTTAGGTTTTGATAATGAATACCATTTTAATGTATCTAAGAATATATTTTCAAATTAATAAAAGAAAAAAAATAATTTTTTCTTTTTCTTACAAATATTAAATACATGAATATCAATTGGAGTTGTTCGTGTATAATCTTCAGAATTTGAATAACCACCAAATGAATAAATTAAATTATCTAATGCACCTGCAGCATGATTAACACGACGAGGACCATTTTCAACACATTGAATCCAGTACATAGTCTTTTTTTTTTTAATTTCGTATATTGATTATTTATTTTAAGTCTTATATAACTTATTCCTGTCCACTATATTAACCAGTCAGATTTAAAACTGACATCTACTACCATCTATAATTTCTTGTGAAAAATACTGACTATGATAATTTTTGTATAGATAAAAATGATATTACTATGTAAATTTCCCAAGAACAAAAATTAGTAATATTCTTTAATTTGGAAATTACCAAACATAAAATTTTATTTGTGACAGTTATGTACAAAACTCAATATGATGTTCATGTTAACTAGATAATAGCAAGAAAAAAAGTCGTATAATGAAAAAATTGATTTGGTGGTTATATTTTGAGAACTAATATTAATTCCGCATTTGAAAAAGTTTGCACTATTTTTAGTGTAAGATTTTGTTCGGTACAAAAATATTTAGATTAAAAATAGTAAAACTAATGTTTATTTTAAACTCTTTATTCTTGTATTATTATTATTCAGTTTTTGTACTACATTATGCATATTTTATTATTTTTTCTAAAGAAAAAATCTTATAAATTTTAAATGATATAAAAACACGATAAACGAATATTTTCGTTACAGTAATAAATAATCGCCGTAGTGTAGGTGTTGTAAATAATCGTAAAAATATATCTATTCATATGACAAGAGTAATAACAAAATTAATCGATATGCCCCACGTGCGCTAAAAACAGTCATCATTATATATTTTAAACTTTTAAAACAACACGTTAAATTTCTTATCATTTAGAATTAACTTCAATTATGTATCGAATAATATACATAAAGTACCCACATCGTTTAAGGTTATCATCCAATATTCATGTCTATATACATATCGGTTAATATGTGCAGTCATATATATATATGTACAAAATGAAAAATAATAGTAAGCCTATACGGACGTGCTCGTTTTCGCTTTTCGAAATATATGGATTGGTAGACACGGTTCATTGCACACATAAATATAATGAAAGCAAAATATCGTTTCATATTGCTTTACAATAATCATCATGAGCGCCGAAGAACAACCCACCGAGAATGTACGACGACCAACTCCTTATACGTATGGCTTTGTGAAGTATTTTTTACTGTTTCTGATCTGTTTTTTTTTTGTATATAGTGAAAAAATACAAGAACGTCCAGAAAAAAATCCACCAATAGTCTATAAACCATTACCACCTAAAGAATTCTTCGAAAAAGTAAGAAAAACAACGAAGTTTAGTATAATTACTTTATTCATTTATAAATATTTAGTATCGTACTAATATTGATAAAGCTATTCGTAAAGTTTGGTCCAAAAAAGCAGATGATGATTATGTATTCGAACCATTTCAATCAAGATTTAATTATTATGATTATGGTGGTCAATATAACTTTATAGTTTGTTTTTTGTTTTGATATATTTGAGAAACGAAAAATTCTGATTGATGTCTTTTTGTTTTTATTCTAGTGCGAATTAAAAGATGGAGCTCCGACATATATATGCTGCACTGAAAATTTTGAAAAAGAAGATGGAGATTTAGCTAATGATGAAGCTGAACGACGACGACGATTATGTGTTAGTGCTAGTTAAATATGAAAACAAAATAGACTTCTTAATCGAACTTAATTTTCCTAAACTTTCTTATTTACTTATTTCAATAAATAAATATCATCTTAGACAGCTAATATATTTAAATTGGATGAGATTTATATGATTTGTGATTGTCTAAAAATCGATTGAATGGTTTTTCAATAATCACATACCATAAACAAGATATAATCTGTGATAGAAATAAAACGATTGGTAAACTAATAATAATAGCATATGTGATTGGATATGTTTGAAGAAAATTTAATGGTCCATGAAAAATTAATTCAAACGATATTCTCCAATGAATAAGATAAACTAAATAACTTAATTTTGATATAGGTATCCATATTGATAGAGAAAGAAAATGTTTTATCCAAGGTGAATGATATGGATGAGTAGATGGACATAATGCTGTAAATAAAATAAATGCTTGACTAAGTGCAAATATTTGTCGAGAGCAAGCAATTGATAATGTTAAAATTAAGTTAAATTGAGATGAAGCAAATCTATCGATATCTATTACTATTGGTGATAATATATAAAGAAATATTAATACGAGAATGAAATATTTTTTATATTTATCATTTTGATTAGGTTGTAATGATGGATTTTCTATAAGTTTTATTGCTAATAGTGCTCCTGTAATAAAACTTCCAAAACGAGCTTCAAATGGTAAATACATATTATGTAGAAAAATTTTCATTGGATTTATTTTTGATATTTGAAATGGAAATGTAATATTATATGTTGTTTCAAGCCAAATAAAATAATGTTTAGGTAATAGTAATGGTAAATTATGATATTGACGTGTAACTTCTATAATTGGCATTGTTATTGGATTAAATATAATAATTGATAAAATAATCGATAGAAGAAATAATATTCCTAAAGAATAATATATTGAAATAGATTTTCTATATCTATAGAATAAATAAAGTAATAATGTTAATATTATATGAACTTGCATATCTAAACTAATACTCCATAATGGAGCTAAACTAGCTAACCAATATTCAATATCAATATAATTTTGAAAAAATAACCATACACTTAAATATCGAAATGATTCAAATGAATAAGTAGAATTTGGATATTTTGGTTCACCTAAAATTAACATAACTAATGTTGATAATAACATACCAGGCCAAAATCTTAATGCACGTTTAAATATAAAAATCGGATAAAATTTTATAAATAATCGAACATTCATATTATTTTTCTTCCATTGACTAATTAATTTATATGTTAATAAAAAACCCGAAAGCATAAAAAATATTTCTAAACCATACGCCATCAATGGTGAAAGCTTAAAAGCTATACTTTCTAAATATTCTTTCCATTCATCATTAGGATAAGATGGTATAAATGTATTAAATATAGTTACTAAATGACATAAAATAATTAAAAGATTAGCAATAGCACGTAAACCATCGACTGGATAAAAATAGTTATTTTTATCATGTGTACGAGTTATTAAAGATATAAAATCTTGCCGAAATTGCCACCACATTTTTATTTTTACTATATGTTAAAATATTTCATTCTGTTTATTAGTGTATAATTTTCTTCACCCTTAACAACATAATTTTGACTGCAGAGGAAAAAGAAAGATGTACTGATTCAGCATGGAAGAAAATGTACCGGAGGAAAAAAAAGGAAAGGTTTGATTTTTGTTTTGAATTTTTATACATATATTTAATTGATTTGTCAACATGTGGATGAATGTAGCGTTTTTTTTTGTTCTTTGATAAAATAATTGCCATATAGTGATCTCGAAGAGATAATATATTAATCATGCGTGGTAGATGTAATTCATGTATTTGAATATGAATGAGATGCTGTTTTCTTTTATCTGATTATCACTCATTTTACATAGATAAAAGTATTCGTGTACTACTCTAGTAACTGATGTAAGTTGATTGGTTTGATACAAAACAAAACAAAAAATACAATGTAGAAAAATATTGATACTGATTAGAAGTAACTATTTTATTTTTATTTGCATATTGTTATTTTATTGATTATTAGAAAATAAAAATTAGAAAACTTTTCATTGGATTCTATGCTTTCATAATTGATATATCATATAGAACAATATGTACTGATTAACTTTGCATAGAATAATTTGATTTAGGTCACTCTCTCTCTCTTGTTTTTTTTTATTAAGATACATTTCATATGAGTAAAAATAGCCATGTAAGTCACTTTTATTTTATCGAATGAAACAAGTCGGAATTAATAGAAAACGACGTTAATATTGGCTTCTTCAATGTGTTGAATTTGTATCGTATGTGAAATTTATCATATGACTCTTATTGTTACTATATATTTTTGTTTTTCTCTCTTCTTGTTTTTATCATATTGTATTCCAATGTGACATTGTAGAAATCGAGTGTACTTCGTTCTGTATACTTATATTGCTCATAGTTATGTTTATAAAAACAGTAAGGAATGTTCATCGATCCATTGTAAGCACTTCCGAGTGTAACAATAAAACGAGGGATTTTTTTTTCAAAGAACTCAATAGAACAATGTCTACCCCACTTTAAAAACAAAGTTTGTTGATGCAATAGAAGTTTATTGCTTCATTGAACTATTTTCGTTTTATCGATATTAATATATATATATATATATGATAAAACATATGTTCAAGTGTTTCTTTGCAATTCATATGAATTTGAGTGGCGGCGCATCAGGAAGATAATATCTACAATTGCTTCTTCGAAAAAAACCTAGAAAAGCAATAAAAAACAAAGTTATTACTTCTCTTAAAAGCTCGACTTTGTATTTATAATATTTGGTACGAACATGATTAGAAGGTTTACTCCCGGAGTACTAATTTGTCTTGTTTTTTATTTATTTGTAGAACAATATTGTATATAGTTATAACTATAACTCAATACCAGTTGTCTTTCGTATGTTATATTATTTTGTTTCTTCTAGCTAAATATTTTCTGAGATTCAAAAACTATTTTCTAGACTACGGAAATTGATAATAATCAAATCAAAGAAATTTTCTATTCCATAAAATTCAGAATAATATAAGAAAAGAAAAACTAATAGATTTTTTTTTCTAGCAATTTGTTTCATAGAAATATTTGAAATCTATTGTGTATGTAATTATATTTCTTCGTCAGTCTATATCAAATCAAGATATAATAAGAAAATTTCCACACGTTTGATATCTTATCGTTCTTTTATAAGAAAGTAAATAACATTAATTCTAGACAGCCAATGATCTTCATTTAGATTATAAACAGTCTATCGAAAAAAAGATTTGCATCTTTTTTAATAGAAAATATTATTAGGAAAATTAAGGATGTATATATATTAATAAAAAAAACTTAATTTTGTTTGATTTCTAAAGAGAATAAGTGCCATTAATCTTCCGTAAATTAAACGATTGACATAAAAACTAATTATTCATTTTTCCAATTGAATTATTTATTAAATTGATCAATATCTAGTGAATAGTAATGATGTTATTTATCAACCATGTTTCATGGATCAAGAGTAATTAATCGATGAATTTCAAAAAAAGAACCCGTTGAGATTAACTCATTTGTTATTTATTTATTAATAGATTAATGAAATAATGACAAGGATTTATGTTACTCTTCTACTGATTTAATATGCATGAATCATCTATTCAGATTTATTGTTATTATATATTAGAAAAAAAGAAGGAAACGCAGATAGTATTTCAATGAATCTGTTTTGTTTTTTAGACAAGAATACTGATGAACGGATCTCCTACGCTGAGATTTTATAAGATAATATCACTATTTATATATATAGTTTTGTGTGCGTGATCTTAGCGTTTTTTTTTCTATAAGAAGGAGCTTTCTTTAATAAGTGTGTCAATATGTTTTTCTTTTATTTCTTTGTTAAACAAGGAAATAATCGAGAATGCTTTTTTTTATATATATGATGCATGTTTTATATGAATTATTATCATTATAAGTGAAAGGTCACATGAGCATGACAGAAATGCTTGTTGTTAATTGACAAATCTTGATTTTTTATGAAATATATGACTGGAACTGACAATGTAATTAAATATAGTCTTTATTTAATAAGAAAGTTGATTGTTAAGATGAAATATTAGTTGTATATCTCATTTTGTTTTTTGTAATTAACATATTTTCTTCTGTCATTCATCTATTTCGTCTTCTTCTCCTTCTCCTTCTCCTTGTCCTTCTTCTCTCTTTTTTTTCTAGTTATTATGCAGAATTGACAAATGTATGGTCATTCGAACCGTTTTTGTTGTTATTATGTTGTCAAGAAGAATAATCTCTGTTGGGCGTGATGTTAGTTATAGCATCGTATTTATCGAGTTGCATTCATATACTTCGTAGATGCGATATTAGAAAGAGAAAAAAGAGCTCTATTCTACTTCCTGTTTGTCTATAGTGTTGCACGTTATATTCTCGCTTCATTGTATCCAATTATCTTCTGTAGAATGTTGTATGACATCCTTACCTCATTTATTTGCTATAAAGTCTGTAAACAATACACAGTGATCGCTTTTGATATTTCATGTCTCATATTAAAATTAACATGAATCATTAAAAGAAGAGTATCTTTATTATATAAACACGTAAGCAGACAGTATTGTATGACAAAGAAAAAACTAAATATTAAAATTTTATTTTTTTTGAAATAAATACATTCTTCTTGTTTTATTATTTAAGATGCAAAATATGACATCTGATAACGATGTTTATCGTTGGTATGCAGATGTAATTGTCTATCGCACAATTGGTCCATTGATCGCATTTTTTGGTATTATCGGTGGAATACTCTCTCTACTTGTTTTTCGTCGAAAGACATTAAGAAAAAAATCTTGTTCAATTTATTTTTTATTCTTGGCATTAGCTGATCTATTGTGTATGATTTGTTGGCTTGTACATTTTGTTTTACCAACATATAATATACAATTACTTACTGTATCAAATTTCTTTTGCAAAACATTCGTATTTGCTATGTATTTTGCTTTTGATCTTGCAAATTATCTTCTTACTGTATGGTAAGTTTTTTCAAAAATTAGATTATCTATATATCTCGATATATTTGATGCGTAGTGCTACCGAATTATCAATTATAATTATATTGTAATAGTTAGCTAAAAGACAAAAAAAAATACATTAGCCCATATGCTGTTTTTTTGGGTTGGAAGCATGAGATTTTTTATTATTGACATACAGTGCTGATTGATATGTGATGAAAAGAATCCATTATCTATAAAGAGTATAAGAAAATAAATCGAAAAAATATGTGTATGACATGTTGAATACGAACATATCAACAAGAACGATACACAAGTGGACGACATATTAAAAAGGATTGACATCAATAATAATTTGTTATTTTATTCATATAGAACAAATTTGGATAGATTTTTGTTTTATGAATATAGATTTATGTTCTCATGTAATAATACATGACAATAATCTGAAAACTAGACAGAAAAGAACTTGATATCAATAATTTGTTTTTGTTTATTTTATGATAAATAGAAACAGTGTAGTTAACTATAAATAGATATACAAGAATAATCGTTTTTTATTGTTTTTAGTTCAATTGATCGTGCTGTAAGTGTTTTATTTCCACTTCAAAGTCGTCGATTTTGTCATAGAAAAATGGCATATACAATAACATTTACTTTAGTTATAATTCTTACATTATTAAATGGTCATTTACTCTTTGGTTTTGTTATTTTATTAGCTAAATCAGGTTCAACACCACCTGTTCGTTTATGTCTACGACGTATTGATTCTAAAGGTTATCAAAAATTTTTTTCCGTTTATGATTCATATGTTGATGTTATTAAAACAAATGTTATTCCATTTGTAATTATGAGTATATGTAATGTAATAATAATAAATCGTGTATGTCGATCGACTTATCTAAGAAATTCAAATGGAACTAAACGTAATCGACAAGTAAAATCCAAAAGAAAATATGAAAAAGATCGGCAATTAACATTAATGTTACTTGGATCATCGATTGCTTTTCTTTTTCTAACACTTCCAACTGAAATCGATGATCTTATTAGATCTCATTCGGGTGTCAAAGTTGTTACTGAGAAAACTTATCTTCTTATCGCTATTCTTTCGTCACTTGCGCATCTTAATTATGCCGTAAGAACTAATTGATTTTAAAAAAAAATATCTTTTTTTCTTTCTTTTTATATTCAGGTCCATTTTTATATTTATACATTAACAGGTGAAGTATTTCGTCAACAATTAGTTAAATTATGGCCTATAAATGTAACATGGCCATACATATCTGCACTTTTTCGATGTAAACGATCTTCTTCATCTTCATCATTAACTGAAACAAATATTCAACAAAAACGTATTTTTGAAAATGATCAAAAACCTAATTTAGAAGTGTCACTTGTAGCATCGAGATGTTATAATGAGAGTTCCATTTCATAATTTTTGAAAAATAAACAAAAGATTATTTCAAGTGAATTTTTTAGAAAGAAACTAATATTTATTCGGAAACCGGATATATTTTTTTCTCATTAATGACATTGAAGATAGTATTTTTCATTAAAATGTTCATTGCGGTCTTTTTTAAGAGATCCTCATGAATCAAAATATGAAATATTATCTTGAAAATTTTTTTATTAGAGATTGATTTTTGACAGATGAAGATTAAATTACATTTATATTGAAAAGTATTTGAATCGAGAAAATATTTTAACATATAGATTTGTAAATGATTATGTAAGATTGAAGATTATTTCAATAAATCGAACATATGTTGTTATTGATAGGAATGTGTGGGTATTTTCAAATGGTCCGAAATGAATATGATTAATATGAATTCAATTTTCTAAATAATTTGTTGCAAAATATTTGTACTTTATGTCAAGTATAACCGATTTTTCTAAAGATTTATTGACGATTATCGTATAGTAAATGACATAAATTATCGTTGTTTAACAAACAAGCCAGTACGAAACTAATTTTAGATCGAAACATATGTTACAATAATTTAGGTCAATCGTTTTTTCTAATGTCCAGTTTTAGTTAATAAAAAAATTCATCGGAAAAAGAGTCATTTGTATAACAGTAACATTTAGTCATATGGCATAAAATATTCTATAAATACTTTATTTAATCATATGGAAAATAAAGAAAACATACGTCGGGTATTTTGATGTCAAAAACAACTGTCTATCATTTTATGAAAATATTATATTCTATTTTTGATATAATTGAGAAATTAGAAAATATAATACCTCATCAATCAAGATAATTAAAAATGAATGTTAGATAGTTTATAGTATTCATATGAATGAATAATTCATTTAGAAAAGGCTTTTTGTCTTGTCTCAAAAAGAATATTTGTACCATTATATTTATGTCCATGTATACAAATAAATTTAGAATTCAAAGTAATTTGTTATTTTTATCGGAAAAGAAAAACTGATAAACAAATATAATAGAAGTTGATCTATTCATAGAAATCAATATACTGCATATCTATCCACTTATGCTCTTCTTTTTTTTTTGTCTGAAGCTTATCAAAGGAAACAAACTCATCCACTTATCTCTCTTTATATTGCCAGAAGAGAAAAAAAAAGATAACAGATACAAAGTAATTTTATTTTTGGTACATGTTATTACGTCAGCAACACATTAATATGTTTTTGACTAACAAAAAACAACGCAGAAAAGATAATTCCATTCAACATACAATGACGTTATTTGATTTTCTCAATTCTATTCAAAAACAAAATAGTTAACATGAGAATTTATTTTTATCCATATATTTGGATGAAATAAAATAGTTTTCATATATATAGACACATACATATAATAAAAAGCACCATTCTAAAAGAAAAACAAAATCTGATATTTGCATATGACTAGATCATTGTGGTCGATGAAGATTATAGTATGAAGTTGGATAAGGTATTGTAAATCGTCGAACAAGTGGCGGAGTATATTCAGTTTTTGATGAATTTAAACGGGGAAAATCATTTTTTAATTGTTCAGTCACACCTGTAACGACTTTAGTAACAAATTGGTGTGCATTATTTAAATTATTTGTAAATTTTGGTTGTTTATCAGATGATTGAACACTTTCAATTGTTGTTGTTAATGGTTTGAAAGATTGATTTTGAATAGGTTCATTGGAAGGTTTAAGAGATTGATTTTGAGTAAGTTCATTGGAAGGTTTTTGTAAAGATGTATCACTAAAATCGATTAATAACAAATCATCAGATATTGTTGGAGCAGATTTTGGAATCGGTGGTGGAGCTCGAGTTATTATTGGTTTATTCTTATTTGAATTATTTAATTGAAGAATATTTGATACAACTAAAATTGAAATAAATATTTTTATTATAGATTAAAATTACGAAAAATTCATAGGATTGAAATTAGCATTGATTATACTTTTGACTTTTTTGAAAAGAATAAAGATTCTGACTTCCATCTTGAGGGGTGGGTGGATATGGGCGGGTGCGAGTGGGTGGATAAAGTTAAAGAAAGAGTATTCACACCCACACCTACCCTCAAGATGGTTTCTACTAGCTCAATATGATCTAATGAATGTTTCATAACTATCAGTCTTTTTTTTATTTTTATTCTTTGTTTAATATATTCAGTCGTCGGGAGGCATTAGATGTGTTTTTTAGTGAGCAACATTCTCTCTATGAAACCACAAAAAATTAAATTAAATTGACATGAATCGTAAGAGAGTGTTGCATCGATAAAAATTTTGTCAGATACAATTTTTACTTGTTTTTATTAGTATTTTTAGGATATCTTCGTTAGTTCTTGATGTTCGGATTTAAATATGTTTCATCCGATAAAAGGAAAAAATTAGTTTTGTAAAAAACTTTATCGTTGAGAATGGATCTTCTAAAAGTGTAATACGTTTTGATCAAATATGGTTTTCAAGTTCTGATTTTGAGGAATGGTTGTGTAGAGAATGGTATAGAAGATCGAAATACTCATAAAAATTGCATTTAATAAAAATTTTATTGGTGCGACACTTTTTTACGGTTTATGTTAATTTAATTCAAGTTTTTGTGGTTTCGTAGAGAAAACGTTGCTCTTTAAAAAAAACATATATTGAATGTCTGCCTACAACTGAATATATTAAACGTAAAACAAAAATAACAAGGGAACCGATACTTATCAACAATACTCTCGGCTCGTTCCCTCGTTAGTATACTTATTAGCACAAACTCTTCCAACAATCATGTATATATTTCAAATAGTAATTCATTAACTTAAGGTAAAGAAATTTAAACATACTTTGTACATTATCATCTCTTTCATTTGTATCAATTGTTGTAACAATTGGATTACTTAATATAGTTCTAAAATCGTAATAATAAATAGATTTTTTTTTAAATAATTTAATTAACATACTCGTCAATTTTATCAATTTTTCCCCATGAAAGACCTTGTCCAGTTGCATCACTATGACCCGTATGAATAAAACTTCCTCTTACAGGCCAACTTATTTTTTCATTTGTATTTGTTGTTGTTATTGAAAGAGAATTTCTTGGAAAAAATCCAACATGTTGTGTTCGATGATTTTGTCCTTTCCAAATTGCTTTATCAACTAATGATTCAAATACACTAACTGTATCACCACGTATTAATGTTATTTGATTTAATTGTTTGCTATCACGAATAACTCGATATTGTATTGGACGATATTGATTTAAATGAGATGTTATTTTATTAAATTTAGGTCGTTCAATTGGATTTAATGACCAACATGATAATAAAAGTGAATAGATTAATGGTGGACAAATATCAGGACATCGAAGACGTTCACCACGTTCTTCTAGTGCTTTTAAAATCTTGAATTAAAAATTAATATTATAAGTATATTAGAGAAGAAATAAATTTTTTTATTTTGTTCTACAAACCTCATGTACGGAAAGACCAGCCCAAGGATTTTCTGTACCTAAAGTAAATAGTTCCCAAACAGTAATACCAAACATCCATACATCTGATGATGATGAAAATTCTTGATGACGAAGACTTTCTGGTGCACACCTATCAATTAAATATTATATAGATATTTCTTTTATTTTTAAAGGATATTTAATTGATAATTATTCCGCTAAATTTATTCGTTTTCCTTCGAGTGTTAACGCTCTTTCTTCATATGTTTCTCTCATCAGAACTAATGAGTGTCGCTTCATTTGTTTGGATTTACTCTACAGATGATTAGTTCTATTGAACATTTGACTTTTAACCTATTTGGTACTCTTTTCATCAATCATCATCTCTAGAGAGGCTTCTATTACAATATGTGTAGACAATGTAAACAAGACATCTTTCTCATATTAATGTTTTATGTTCTTAATGACATCATTCGATCACGTCGATAGAAAAAAGATAAAAACATTCAATGTCTTATCGGTATCACGTACGTATGAATCTCTCATCTTTTTTTTCTTCTCTTTTTTTTCTTTCAAACATATGTTTTAAATCAAATAGATCACTTGTATAACTTAGTGATAATTACAAAAGAAAAGAAAACGAAGAATTGTTCATTCTAGAATAAATAAATAAAGAAAGAATCGTTGTGTCAATGTAAACATTGGCATGAAAGTTTAGATTCATTTATATTTACTCCATAAGACAAGAAGTGACATTTATCTATAATTGCAGAGAGAGAGACAGAGAGACAGAGACAGAAAGAAGAAAAAAAGAACATTGTTGTGAACTGTATCTTATATAATAAGTGAGAAACGATCGACACTTTTTTCTTCTCTGTTCAATGGACACAAGACAGGTATGTCTCGTTTAATCAATGATAATCTCATCCCGCCTACATTTATTGATCATATACAACATATATTTCTTTTTCTACTTACTAAGCATTAATAAAATCTTTACTCTTGAGATTTATGTTTTCAAACGTTTTCTTTTTTGTTCTTTTTTCATTAAGAGTATTATAAAAGTAAAAATACCAAAATTTTCTTTTCTCTTAGAATATATTTATGCAAGTAATTGAAAAATACTTTAATAGATACATTTTATTTTACTTTTAAAAATAAAGTATGAAGAAAGAAAAACGATCCTATACACCACCAAGGTAAAATATTTTACTTAAGAAAAAAAACAACAAGTTTTTTTCTGCTAATCAAATTCAACTTGAATAGTATATCATATTATTTAGTCAAAGAAAAGATAAATTTCGATATTGTATTACTTAAAATATTCACTATTGAAATAAATAGATTTTTATTGAAGAAAAAGAAAAGAAGCAAAAGCAATGTATTCTAATTAGACACGAGTGTGAACATACTAAACAATGTTCATTCTTCTTCTCACGTTTGACATGTTCTCTTTTCTCTTATGAAATATAAACGAGAATATTTGAAAGAATGAACGAAAAAAAGAAGAAAAATGTACCACAAAAGAACACATCATTTATATTCTCTTATACTGACGCCATTCGTTTATCGTATTCATTCCCTCTCTTTTTTTCTTTATCCAACTTGCAATAGTTGTTGTTGCTTAACAACCAATTGAGAAGAGAATATCATTTCTTTTGAAGGTTATCTTTTTTATCAGTCATAATGTTCTAATATACATCATAAATACTATATTTTTTCTTCTTCTAGAAAATGAATTTAGAAATTGAAATTCCTATATGGTATAATGGAAAAATGAAATGGATATCAAATTTAACAACACGTTCAAAATGTTCAGATGTTATACAAGCTATTTTATCATCCGATGAAAATTATTTTCCTCAAACAAACGATAATTATGTTCTTTATGAATCATGGCGTGGTGTTGAACGACCATTAAAATCCCGTTGTCGTCTTTTAAAATTATGGCATTCATGGGCTGGTGAATCACAAAATGTAACATTAACACTACGAAATTATCATCAACAACAATATCATCAAATAATTTCTACACAAAATCGTATTCGTCATCAAGAAAAAAAATCGAAACGTAATCAAAAACGTACAGATAAACAATTAAAAAATCAAAATCAATCGATTCTATCCTATTTAAATCTTTACCGTTCAATTCTTAATACTCAAACACAAATAGAATATCAACAAAAAATTATTTCATGTTTAATAACTGATATTGATAATGAAACACGAATAGATTTTAATCAAGATGATTTAACAAATCTTTTAACGGAAGTTAATCAAACATTAATTATTAGTAGACAACTAAATCAACAATCCGATGAACTTGATGAAAAAATTAATTTTTCAAATAAAGAAATTGATCGAAAACAATGTTTATTAGATGAATTAGAATTAGATTATGCATTAGATGAAAATATTGAAATCGATAGTCTTGAAGATGATAATGATGATGATGATAATCAAGATCAGCTAAGTTTTACATTTCAACAAGAACATGTTAGTACAAAAGATGCTTCACCATCACCACCACCACCAACTATTTTAACTCAAAAGAAAACACAAACAGGTATAGTAGAATATAACTGAAAAGATTTGATTCTCAATTCTTTGAATACATGATTTTGTTATCGCTCGTGATGACAAGTAAATATTAAAAAGAGAAGGATTCAATGACAGACATCTTAATCCTATTTTTCATTCTATATATGATCTTCCTATCGCAAAACGTGACAGATACAAATGTCTCGGATCCATTTTCATTAAAAATTTATCCTTGATTTAAAACTTCTATATATATATATATATGTATTCATTCTTTAGTTTCATCTCGTCCTACAGCAATCGTTGAACCAAGTCTATCATTAAGAAAATCCAGATCTTTTTCTGATCATCCATTAAAAACTCGAGTACAAAATATTTCTTTTCCTATTCGTCATCATAGTCCATGGTCATTATCAACAAATGATGAATCCGATACGGGTATTAGCTCATTCAATTCAACTGATGATCAATTAGTCACACTTGTTTAAATCAAATCAAATTAAAAAAAAAAATTTTTTTTTTTTCATTTTACCACGCAATTGGAATTGATTGACCAATAACTGTTCCTGGTTTATATAAATTACAATCTGTATCAATCATTCTTGCTAAACCAAAATCTCCAATTTTAATCTTTGAATTAAAAGAAAAAAACACACAATTTTGTTTTTTGCTTTTCTTTTTTTAAATAAAAAAAAACAAACTTGTTCATATGAAACAAGAAATATATTTCTTGCAGCAAGGTCACGATGTACAAATCTTCGTTGCTCTAAATAATCCATTCCTTCACTTATTTGTCGAGCATATTCAACAAGCATATATACAAGAAAATGTTTGGGTTCACTACGCAAACGTGATAATAATGATCCAAGTGGAGCTAATTCTGTAACCTTTTATTTGTTTTAATAAAAAAAAGAATATATATACATATAGAATAAATATATATTTTATTTGATTACCATCATTAATGGTTCGGATAGAACAATACCATGAAGACGAATCAAATAACGATGTGATAATAGATGCATTGCATTAGCTTCTCGTACAAAATCACTAATAGCATTACAACCACGAAGGATTTTTACAGCAACAGGAAGACCATTCCATTCTCCTTGACGAACAATACCAAAATGACCAGAACCTAATGTGACTGATAAATTAAGAGATGATGGTGATATCAGACATGAATTTGATGATGATGATGATGATGGTAAAGACGTCTTTTAAAAGAAAAGATTTATTTTCAGATATCTATTTTATAAAATTAACTAACGGTATTTGAAAGTTGTTTTTTTGTATTTGATGATCGTTGTTTTTGTTTAATAGTAGCAAGTAATCGTCTTATTGCTGGTTTACTTAAACCAATTCGTTCGAGATCATTCGCTTGTACATATTCAAAATGCGAAAGTCTAGGAAAAAGAATTATTTTGAAATCAAAAAAAATAGGAGAATTTACTTTGTCACTTGAAGATCATCTCGTATTCGAGATAAATAACCTGAAAGATCTGTTTCAGATAATACTTCAATAACACGATGAAGACCATCTTCGGTCTCACCCATGGTTGTTGTACTCGTGTAGGATTTATTGATGAATTTTAACAATTCTGTCAATAGGTAAAGCTATCAAATCATGACTCATTTTGTTCTTTGACTTTTAATGTTTGGATTATAAATATAAACAAATCAATATATTAAATTTATTTAATTTTCTTATTTATAGATTTTTATTGATTAAAAGTATTTTTTTAATTTATTTATTATTATATTTCAATTTCCGATATTTATCCTTAAGATGTCGCTACTAAACAATCTTATCAAATAATTTATTTTTGATTGACAGAAAGAAGTAGAATCGAGATGCAAACTCAAGTAGTTTATGTTATTTTCTTTCAAAAAAAAGGTTGAATAAAATTCTCCATTTTCATAACCTTTCTTATTTTGCCATGCCGATGGATGAATCAATTTTCGTCCGATACGTTATGTAATTGATATGCAATGTATACCTCAAGTTTCATTATGAGGACATACATTTTTTGTACGATCAACAATTATAATAAAAATGTGTAAAACGCAAAAAGAGAATAAAGTTGTTTGATTCGATCCTATGAATTATAATCGAAAGACATAAGCGACAGAGAAAGAAGAAATTTGATCCATTAGGCTTTTTTTTACTATTTATCTTTTCTCGATAAAAATAATATGAAATATGCTCTGTACTTCTTTCGAGTTTGAATATTTCATATTGACATAAATTTTAGTTATTATCAGACATGTTTTATTCAAACTGCAAGATGTTATACAAGTCAAAACAAACAACATAGCTTTATATTTGACTCGAGTGTTCAGTCTCCTATGTATGTTTGTTTCATATTGAAAGCAACAGTGTTATTGAATATATTTGGAAAGACTTATTAGGATTTTTTTCTTTTGGAAATGAATGTTTATTAAAAATTTCATTGAAATTAGTTATTTTGAACTACTACTCTAGATTGAAATATTGATATTATTTTTTTCTTAGTATTTATATGTCTGAAATGATCAAAAGCAATGTGAACAAAAATATAAAGAAGATCATAAGAGCGTCATACTTTAAAAACATGATTGTTTCATAAGTATTGTAAGTTATTCAAAAGCTACATAGTACTATTATTATTATTATTATTCATATTTGAAGTATTTGTGTATATGGTATTGTATGCTTGTTTTTCTTGGAATATATTCGTCTCAATTCTAATAGTAACATATATTCTATTTGATAAATTTAAAACACTTAATTTAATGGAATTTTGTTAAGTAGATTTTCGAAAAAATCTATACTATCTGGCATACAAGTAACAAAAGAGTCTATTAAACTATATGATTGCAAAATTGTATTGATATCTGAAAAAAGATATCATCGGGTTTCTTAAGGAAAAGAAAGCATTACCCTTTCTTTCCTAATGAGAGAATTTTTTTCATAGAATACAAGCGAATAACATCTAGAAGAAAGATAAATATATATTGATAACGATACTCTTTAATTATCAATGTTGTCTGATATTATGATTGTAATAAGATAACTAAGAAAACTAGTTTTTATAAGTTATACATAGTTTCAAAAACTTTTTATCCAGTTTTTGAACGTCAACTAGTTTTTTCGTCAATCTTCCATATATGAAAATTTATTTATTCTAACAAACAACTTAGTCGAAATTTTATAACTATTTTTTATTAGCTCAAGAATAGTCAATTACCGTTGGAAAATACAGCATTATTTTTACTATCACTGCATATAAAAAAGAAAGACTCGTCAAGCTTATTAAACGATAGCAGAAGTTTCATTGCTACTGTGTTTAGTACCCGAATCGTCTGTTTTTGATTTTAATCAAATATTAATAGTTTGCAGTTTGAAGATATGCATATAAAATCATACTATTTTTTTCAAACAAAGAACAGTGTATAATCTAGAGTTGTTTTCATAAACAATTGTAACGTAATCTTCGACATTTTTTCGTTTTCTAAATAGTTTTACAAGAGAGTCAAACTATTGAACCAATCTAATAATTAAAAGCAGTTCGACTCGGTTACTCACTTCAACTCGTCGCCGACATAGATGCCTATATATTCTAAAGGCAATGACTTGAGAAATGATTTGTTTTTATCTCTATTTCTTTCTCATTGATCATATCTTTATTTGACTTAACGATCAGATAAGAATATAGATTTATAACAAAAATAAAGTAAAAAAGAATTCGTTCAATCTTTGGTGATTGTAACCGACAACACAACATTCATTTCTATTATATACCATTTTATATTACTAAAACAATCTTAACAAAGACGTTGTGCACATTTGTTTTGTCGATGTCATCATTCTTTTACTTCTTTTTTCTTCTCGAAAGTAATTGCAAAATCACGTGAAACCAATGGCAAAACAAACATCTACTCATTTAATGGAACCGAAAAAGTAACAACACATCATATAAGACTACACAGCACGCATTTCATCAACAATCTACTATTGGTGAATCAAAGTATGGTCACATTTCTTACGTTGCCGGTAGAACTGATCTACCAAATTATGGATCATCAATCGGAATTCACAATTCTGTGCTCAATGAGAAACGTATGCCAACGGTTTAACAGCATCCTAGACGGTTATCATCGATATCAGGTAAACTTTCTGCTATCATAGTACTCTAATTCTTCTCTATCTATTCTTGAGTTATTTTTTATTTCTACGATCTCTATTTACGTAGAATAATTTCAATAAAATATACATGGATCAACTATTTGTCACTCAAAATAATATCCTGATAATCAGAAAGAAATAATTTATATTCTGCTCTCTTTTCAATCTCATCTAAATATTCTACGTTTCAAACTATATATCCTGTCATAAACATACAATATTTAGATAATAAGAAAAAAATACGGAAACAAACATTGTTCTTTGCTTTTAATGTATATCTAAGCACCTTTTTAAAATACTTTTTCGATAGTCAAAATCAAATTTCGACAGAAATTAACAGCCTGTAAACTAGCTTATCGTGTAATAAATAACATTTTAGAGATCCTTTTCATAAATATCTTGCACAAATGCTCCTTTCATAGCATGTGCGACTGCAAGTATAGATGACGATGAATGTGGATGAAGAGACGATTGACCAACAATAACATCCACATTCTTACTCAATCACATCATCTACATCCAAAGATAACAGCAACTAGCTATTCTCTCTCTTCTTTGTACCATGTCTTCATCTGTGTTATTTCATCTAGACACTGACCACACTAAATCTATCGAACAGTAAAATCAAACTGGTTCAAATACAGCATTTGGTTGATGCATTACGACACAATGCCGTAATTGTCATTTTCTTTTCGTCTATATCGTGTCTTTACCTGCAATTTTTCATACAGACCATTACGAACCTAGATCTGGAATGTAATTCAATCGGGTGTTTAGGAGCACAACACATGGCTGATGTATTACGATACAATACCGTAATTGTCATTTCCTTTTCATCTATATCGTGTCTTTACCTACAATTTCTCATTCAGACCCTTACGAGCCTAGATCTTGTATCTAATCTAATCGGGCCTTTTGGAGCACAACACTTGGCTGATGCACTACAATATAACAAAGCAATTGTTACTCTTTGTACATCTATATAACATCTTTACTTACACTTTTCATCTAGACACTCACCACACTTCATCTCTCATACAATAAAATCAGCCATATTGGAGCACAACACTTGGCTGATGCATTACGGCATAACAGAGTAATTGTTACTCGCTGTGCATCTATATGGCATCTTTACTTGTACTTTTCATCTAGACACTCACCACACTACATCTTGAAAACAATCAAATAGAACAGATTGGAGTACAATATTTAGTCGATGAATTACGTCAAAATACAGTAATTTTCATTTTCTATTTATCTACAGTATGTCTTTGCCTGCCACTTTTCATCCAGACACTTATGACACTAAATCTTGAATCTAATCGAATCGGGCCTGTTGCAGTACAACATTTGGCTGATGCATTACGACACAACACAGTAATTGTTATTCTCTCTTCTACTATATCATATCTTTTCCTGCACTTTTCTATCAAGACACTTACGACACTAGATCTTGGATTTAATCTAATCCAAGACATTGGAGCAGAACATTTAGCTGATGCATTACGATATAACATGGTTATTGTCACTCTCTGTTCATCTATATCATGTCTTTCCTTGCACTTTTTCGTCTAGACACTTACCGCACTTGATCTTTATAACAATTCAATCGGACCTGTTGGAATGCAACATTTGGCTGATGCATTACGGCACAACATAGTAATTGTTATTCTCTCTTCATTTGTATCAAGTTATTATCTTCCCTTTTCGATCTAGACAATTACCACACTGAATCTCTCGAGGAATTGTAGTGCAGATCTTGGAGCACAATATTTAGCTGATGCATTACGACATAACGAAGTGATTCTTATACTCTCTTTATCTATATTCTCTCTTTAAATCCACTTTTCATCTAGACAATTACCACATTAAATCTCTCGTGCAATTCCATTGAAATAGTTGGAGCAGAACACTTGGCCGCTTCATTACGATACAACAAAGTTATTGTCACTCTTTGTTCATTTGTATCACGTTCTTACCTTCCCTTTGTGATCTAGACACTCACTACACTTGATCTTTGGAGTAATAGAATCGGACCTGTTGGAGCGCAATATTTAGCTGATGCATTACAACACAACACAGTAATTATTATTGTCTCTTCATTTATATTATGTCTTGACATACACGTTTTCATCTAGACTCTCACTACACTAGGTCTGCGGAACAATACAATTGGACCTATTGGCGTACAACATTTGAGCGATGCATTACGACATAACAAAGTGATTCTCATATTCTCTTTATCTATATCATCTCTTCAAATCCTTGTTTTCATCTAGACATTGACTAAACTTGGTCTTTCGAGCAATCGAATCGATCATGTTGGAGCACATCATTTGGCTGATGCATTACGACATAACACAGTAATTCTCATTCTGTCTTTATCTACAGCGCATCTTTACCTTCACTTTTTTATGTAGACCCTCACCACACTAAATCTCAATAGCAATCAAATCGGAGACGTTGGAGCCGAATATTTAGCAGATGGATTACAACATAACACAGTAATTCTCACTCTTTCTTTATCTATGACATGTCCTTACCTTCAGATTTTCATGTAGACACTCACGATACTAAAACTCTGCTGGAATCAAACTGGGAATGACGCTATGGATCGAATCAATGAATTTATTGAACGGAATGAAAGAGGGAGAAACCCGTGAATGATAATATTAAGTATATTTCGATAACTGACACATAGCTAGCGATAATCATTCGAATATTTTTCTTGTGGTGTAATTTTCACAAAAACTATAAATAAAACTGCTTGTTTCGAAACCGAATCTATATTGTAATGTTAATGTCTGCTTAGCATTGCTAGTATGTGCTGCTTTGAAATAGTTGAGCTGCAGTAGAACTATTTTGTAACTATTTTGAGTTTTAAACTATTCTAGTACTGATCGTCAGTGAGTGTAGGTGGCTGTATCGCCTTACACCCAGCCTTACATTCTAGATGGATACTCGAGTTCTAAATGTATTTTAATTATTGATATAATGAATAGACAAGAAGCTAGATTTTAAAAATCTAATATACCAATAATGATGTTACATGCAAGTATCACTCTTTTCAACGAAACGAGAGATTAATTTTATCGAAATACACTTAATGTGTTTTATAGTAGCTTAGAGTTCACGTAAATAAATTGCTACTCGAAAAATGTCTCTTGTGAAACAAAAAGAAATTATACAATTATTGTTAAAAAGAACTGCAATTTTATATAAAACATTCATTGCAATACAATACAAGACGAAAAAAAAAGAAAAATAAAGATTCAACTAATCGAAATCTGGTTCATTAAATTGAAAATCCGATTTATCATCATTGGCTTCTTCTTTTTCACGTACTTTTGATTGCATAAGTGTATGTTCAAGTACGGCAATACGAACATCAACACGAACAATATCACGATTTAATTCTTCAATTGCCTTCTTAATTTTTACCAATGGACCTAAACAAAATTTAATAAACAATATCTAATAAATTAAATTACTATAAACAACAAACCTCCATCTGTAACACTTTGTCCTGTTTCTTCCATTTCTTCTTTAATTCGTGTTAATTCAGCAGATATTTGAGCTAATTGCTGTGATTTTTCTGTAATACCTTGTGAACATTGACGATAATGTTGTTTTGCTAATGCTAATGCATCTTGTTGTCGATGGAATTCTTGTACATGATCAGTTAATTGTGAATTAATATATTGTTCACCTAAAAAAACAATTTAGCAAAAAAATCTTTCTTATAAAATTCTTCTTTTTTTTGTCATACGTGTCGTTATTTTTTCTAATGATTTAGAAATATCTGTATGAAATCTTGTTAACATTTGTTCAGCATCTTTAAGTGAACTAGCAATTTGTGTTTTATATGTTAAACGTTGTTCTTGTCGTGCACGCCAATCTTTATTTTCAGCTTTAAATGTTACTTTAAGTTGTGGTAATATACGTTCAACTTCTAATTTCCATTCAGTTGCATCTGTTGTTGATTCCATAATTAATTCAGGACGAACTTCAGGTTCAGATATTGCATTAACACCTGCTGATTTGGAATTTAAACCTAATTTTGATAGAGCTTCCATATTTAAAACTGTTTCATCTTCTTCATATTCATCGGCATCATTATCCTAATTAATAGAAAGTATTACTATACGATTTTGTTTTTGTAAATAAATATAATACTCGATTAAACATTTCTTCATCAATTTTATTGACATCAATTTCATTATCATCATCTTTGGCACCTGCATCATCATTATCTGGTAATTCATCAGGCTTTTCAGGTCTAGAAATTATTATTTATATATTTATTTAATTAATTAATCATATTAACTTACGATCGCCAAGTAAAACCAGTCTTTTTTAATGCATCATCAGCAAGTCGATTGAGAATATAAACTACAGATTCACCAGAACCAGTTCGAAGTTTATTCGTACTGACAGATATATCATGACCCTAAAAATCAATATAGTTCAACACGACTTTATTTTTACATGTAAAATATCTGGATTTTGATAAGTTCTATTGTTTGTCAACTACTGTTAATCATGATATCTAACAATACAGCGAAACAGTCTTACTGGTCTTTATAAAAAATGGCATCTTTCGTGTTCTGGAACATTTCGCTCAAATTGTGATGTAGATGCTTGAGTATTTTTTCAAAAGATTGCCCGTAGAATCTCTATAAAACCTCATTAAGAGAGTTATCTGAGTAATTGACAACGGAATTGTCTTCGGTCAACATTACAATGCTAAAAAAGGACATACTCGTCGTTCAAATTAACAATTTTGTAACGCATAAAAATTTCAATTATTTCAGCGAACACCTTTTTTAACAAAAGCTTTTCGTTGTTCCTCTCTGAATTACGATCCATGGCAGTTATTGCCTACTTAAAATTATTACTAAACTGAAGAAAAACGCATCATGATACAGAAAATTTGCATCAGTATTTGATTTCTGTAAAAACTCATACATTTTACTATTGATTGAATATACTTCCGTATCTATTCATTAATAAAAATTTTGTAGAGAATTTCAAGAACTATCTTTTTGAAAAAAAACTCAAGCATCTACGTTACAATTTCAGTGAGATATTCTATATGATTCATCCGTTAAGTTCTCCTTTTATATTTTAACAGAGAACCATTTTCAATAAAATTCTCTTGTACATTATTATGTGAGATACTTTACTCTGAGGACTTACTAATTTTTTAAATTGTGCAATCATATTTGTAAGAAGAACACTTTGATCATCATCCTATATTTCAAAAATAATAAAAATATAGATAGAATACTAAAATAATTTTCAAAACAAACTTCGCTTGGTTTATCAAATTTAACTCCACCTTTTTGAAAAAGCCATGCTGTAAGTGAGATAAATGCATGTAATTGTTCTCCTGGATTTGTAGATACAGCAAAATGAATACGTGAAATTGGTTTCATTCTCCATTTTAATACATATTCATCATCATAATTAAGTAATTTTAATTTATTATATAAATTCGACATATCAACAAAGACTTGAAAGCCAGCACCTGGACTTACATCAGGTACTTCAGTACCAGCAGCTCCTTTTCCTGTATCGTCAGCCATTCAATACAATTTAAATGAATCTTTTTAATAACATCCATTAACTCAACTATTTCTCTTACGAACAACCTCTAGCGAAATTAAAACAATGAATGCGTCATCTATGGAAAGATGTCACTTTAACTTTCTTTAATCCATAATAAATAAAACTCATAAAAAAATATTTCAAAATCTGACTTATTTATTTTGATAAGAAATACAAATTTTCTTTTCTTTCAATTATTTTTCTAAAGGTTTAGTTTTCTTAACCAATAAATCAATGTTTATATAAAAAAAAAAGAAGCAGCTGTTGTTTATTTATTTCTATTGTAACATCATTCTTATTTTGATATACTCCTAAAAAATAATAGATCAACAAAAAATGACATTAAGTGAATTAGAAGAAGAAGCACGTAAACGTAAAGAACGTCTTATGCAATGGAAACTTACCAAACAAAATCAACTCGCTAAACGAAAAGAATATGACGATGATGACGATGAAGAAAAACCTAAAGATTTACAAGAAGAAAATATTGAATTTCCCAAACCAATATTTCGGAATTATAAACCAAGTGATCCAGCACAATTATCAGGTGCTATTGTATTACCAAAACCAAAATTAATTGATGTTAAATCACTGGTAATTTTACAAAAACAAATTTCAATCAAAAAGATTTATTTTTTTTCCTATTTAGATTGACGATCAAATAAAAACTAGTAAATCAAGTTCGAATGAAAATAATGTTAATGATGTCACAGAAGATGTTGATTTATTATCATTAGCACCACGTAAACCAGATTGGGATTTAAAACGTGATGTTGAAAAAAAATTAAAACGTTTAGAAAAACGTACAACACGTGCTATTGCAGAATTAACACGTGAACGTTTATTAAAAGATCAAAAACAATCATTAGCTGAAGTTGTTGCAACAACATCGAAATTAAATGAAGCAGCACAAGATGATGACGATTAGAATTTCCTTTACTTTAATATATAAATATATTTGTTTCTGTTATATAAATAAAATCTTTATTCCAAACTAAAAAAATCTATGTATTTTTTTTCGTTTTTCAGATAATAATTAGTCATTTGAATTATGTATATTTATTAACAATGATTTATCAATTTAATTGAATATATCAATATAGTTTTTATTTCTGAGTGTCATAGTGACACTTTTAGTTATTCTTGTGTGCAATTTTAAATTCCATGCGTTGTTCGACAGTTTTGTCGAGCAATACGAGGGGTATTTTATCTATTGATCAACCACTTATTCATCAATCAACATTTAACACTACCAAACTGGATTATTTAACTGATTGGTTTACTGGGTATGTTTTTCTTTTCCATTCAATAATATAATTCATTCATTCAATGAATATGTAAATTTTTCTATTTATCAATACAATTATGAAATATTATTGTTCTTCGCGATAAAAATTTTTTTTGAATTAGTATTTCTAAGATGCGCATTCAAAAAAATTCTTGTAGAATGACAAAGATGTATATATACATTGATCATGTAATATATATCCTAGTGAGCATAGATGATTGTTCGAGGTAAGAGTAACCTTCTAATATATTAGTGAAGATGAGATGTGTCTGTGTGATATTTGTTTTTTTTTCTTATTGTCATAGAGTTCTTACTGTTCATTTGATTGATCGAGCTAATTCTGTTTCTTTTGCCTTTTATAACCTTGTTTATTTTCCGGTTGTTTTCATAAGGCGTGTCTATCTGTCTTTTTTTATGAGAAGGTCATTGATCTTTTACCATATTATCTTATCAATTAACTTCTAATACAGTTAATAGTAATGAAAAAAATCAATGATTTACATTTTTAAATAAATAAATATATATATATAGAGAAATTGAATAAAATGAGAGAGAGAGGAGGAAAAAAATCGCTTTTTGAATGTTGTGTAATAAGAAGAGCATTGACCGTGAATATGACAGTTCGAATAGGGCTATTCGGTTAAGTCCGACTTGTGCGGATCAATATGTCACTATCGAGAGAATAGTGGCGTGATCGTGTTATGTTTGTTTTGGTTGATTCTCTTTTTTTTCTCCGTTGTTGTAACGTCGCTATTTCCTCTCGTTCTTCTTCTCACTTAAAGAGAAGCGCGTGCGAGGTAAAAAAAAAGAAAGATGAAGAAACCGAACGACCAGGGAATGAGTGTATACTGATGACAATATTTTACTAAATCATGGGCATTCTTAGTTTGTCATTCATATTTACTTCTGCTTCATCGAATACGTAAGTCTTTGTTTTATTTTTGAAATTTCAATCAATCATCATTATTTTCTTATGCATTCTATTATATAATCAATTAGAATTATTTAAAGAGTAAATGATTTATTTTCTTCAATTGTATTGGTTAACATATATAATATAATTAGTTATATTTTTCTCATTTAAATCCTAATCGAATATTAATATGGTTGAAAAGAAACAAAACTCGTATATTCTTTTTTGCTTGATAAAAACTTTATTAAGAAAGAGAGAAAAAAAAGAGAACTGAATAGTCATAGTAGTTGTTGCTCAATCCTTTTGTGTGTTTAGTATGTCCACAAGACAAAAAAAAGGGCAGACGACTACTAAGCCATATGGAGAGATTACGGCAACAGAGTAGTGGACGGTAAATGATCAGATCGATTGACCTTCATTTATATGTTGTTTAATGATTATTCATCGTAAAATTTCTAATAGAAACAAACGTTTTTTTTTAATATTCTATCATTATACCTGTTGCAAATATAAAATGTGTTGTTGATCGAGCGACAAGGATCTGTATAGCAATGAGAAACAGAACAAGAACAAAAAGAAAGAAATAGCCGTATTGGCGAAATAATGGCATCATAAAAACGGAAGCTTGTAGAAGGAGGCGAGAGTAGAGAAACGGAAGGAACCATATGGAGACAAAGTATCGTCATCTCATCTTCTACTATGTTCGTCTTTCCACTTTGGTATGTCATTCTTAACTACATAGATAATATTTTATTGATAAATATTTTATTTTTTCAACAGTTCATATATATATATGTTTATAAGATGAAAATATTCTCATTTTTGTTTTAATTATCCTCTTGAGTTTTGTTATTATTGTCAATAGAAGGATAAATATTGCTTTTATAATATAGTTTAAATAACGGATATATGTTTTTTTTGTTATATATATACAAAGTATAAAATTATTCAATTTATTGATGAGAAAAAAAGAGAAATTCAGAGTTATATGTCTTTCATAGATATGATTGATTTAAAAAAAAAGAAATCTGTTACATCATATGAACAAAAATGGTCTCTTTTTTTTCCTATCATTTATCGATCATAAACGTGAGTGTTGATTTATTTTTCTTGTTTGAATCATTATAAATGTAAAGTATATACATATACATATATGAGAGAGAACGAAAAGAAATGTGCACCTGTATATAAATCTTTTGCTGGCGGTTTTTTTTGTGCGAGATGTCTATGGTATACATTGAATGTTATAACATGCATTACTTCTCAAACGATGTTGCGACAGAGAAAAGTGATAAGCATTTCTTCATTGACGCAGTGAGCATTTTAACATTTAACTTTTATTAAAAAAAACAAAAAAAAAACAGAGGAAAAAAATCTATTTCTTTCTTGTTTCTACGCATATAGAATTCATTTTCTCTAAATTGTTAAATAATGAGCAATCTATTAAGGTAAGAATTTGTTTTGTATTGGATATTATTTCTCAGTTGTACTTCTTAATATTTACCTGTAAAATGAGTCATTTAGCATGAGTAGATAACAGCAAGTCAAAATTGTTGACTTGGGAGAAAAAAATCATATCTTTTATAATATTATCAAAGAAAATAAAACAACAACAATAAGAAGAAGAAGAAAAACAGAATGCGTTCACGTTCGAATACGAATGTTTCAGAATCGGATAATACTTTTTGGAATAATCCAACATCAAGTTTATTTGATGTTTTAATATCTGTTTGGAGGTATGTACTAAAAAAAACGCAAAATAAATGATTCAGAAAAACCTTGTCTCTATTGTTAGTTATTTTATTTATGAGACAAGGTAAAAGAAGAAAAAAAGAAGGCATTGATGCATAACCGTTTCTTATTTTCTTATGCATTTGGACTTTTTTTCTGTGAATACATAAAAAATAATTAACAAAAAAAAATGGTTATAATTATTAGTCGAGAAACTATTTGCTATCGACTTCGAAATACTTTTCATTCTTTATGTCCGAGTCCATTGACAAAAATCTCAAATTATCGACATATGTAAGTTTCTTTTGTTTATGACGCATTTCAATTAGAAGATAAATATTTTTTTAATATTAATTACTTGAAATAGGAAACAGAAATATAATGGATCAAAAAAAAAAAAAAGAAGCAGAAAAAAAACTCTATGGATCAGTAGCATATATACATGGAGAAATAATAGAGAGGAAAAAAAGGGGGAAGTGAATGATACACACATAGAGCATTGGTCCGTGACTCGTTTACACATTTTTTTCTACGTAGATGAAAAAACCGATGCGTGCTTTTTCTTTACATTTAGGCTCCATTTTTGCGTAAATATTTGGAATATTTATAATTAAAATTAATTTTTTTTTATTTTTATTTTTTTTAAGGAAACAACGTCGAAAAAATGAAGTAAATATTCAACCAGGCAATAAAGATCCTTCTCCACCTCCGCCAAATGATCTTTCCAATAGCGGATTAATAAATACAAATGAAAGTCATAATCAATCAACAAGTCTACCTTTATCTTCAACTCAATCACATTCATTAAATTCTTCAAGTAATAACGGTTTACTTTATCTTCAACCTGAATATGCAGTTTTCACACGATCACTTGCTGAATGTAATATTCATGAATTAATTCGACAACCAACTGGTGTTGATAAAAATGAATGGATTGCAAATAATAGTTCGTATTTATTTGATTACGATTGTGTTTATTTTTGTTTCTCTCTCTCATATAGTTGTTGCCTTTTTCAATCATGTAAATGCTTTGTATAATGCAATGTGTGACTTTTGTACACCAGCAACATGTCCGGTCATGACTGGCCCACAGAACAGGTTTATTATTATTATTTATAAAATTTCTTTAATATAAATTTTTTTTCTAGTTCCTATTTATGGCTTGATGAACGAAATAAGAAAATAAAATATTCTGCACCTCAATATATAGACCTATCAATGATGTTTATTCAAAAGACACTTTCAGATGACACTATATTTCCTACAAGACTAGGTAAAACAAATACATTTCTTTGTTATTGTTTTTTATAAAGAAGATAATCTTTTTTATTTAGATCAACAATTTCCTCTATATTTTGATTCACTTGTACGTAAAATGGTTCGTCTACTATTTCATGCTGTTGCACATTTATATGCTGTTCATTATCGTCAATTAATTGAATTACAATTACATCCACATTTGAATAGTTTATTTCTTCATTTTATATCATTTTTAATCACATCGAATATAATCTCTCCTGATTGTTCAACTGTACATATGAATTCTAGTGGAACACTTTCATCTTCATTGGCAACACCCGGTCAAACAGATGCACGTGAACTTCGAACAGAACTTGATACTTTAGATGTTTTATATCAATTATTGGCAAATCAATGGCGACATGCTTATGGACAAGCATGTGCACAAAAAAGAAAGCAGCAAACAACGAATGAAAATATATAAAAAATTCATTTGTCAGTAACGGAGAGGAACATGTTTCTTTAATTTATATATATATAATATGATTGCTCGAGCATTTCCGAGTATGATTCCTCTTTTTCATTTTGTTCTTGTTCTTGTTCTCCTCCTTCATTTTTTCTTTTACATGTCTTAGCTGCATTAAAACAGTGACCAGTTTATTAACGAAATTCACTTTGTTTCTCTCTCTCTCTCCGTATCTGTGTATCCGTTTCTCTTCTTTATGAAAAAAAAAGCAAAAACCATTTTGACCAAAATGTGTCTATTTAATCCTCGTTTATTAAAAATAACAAAAAAAAAGACATTGAGAAAATAATATAACAAAAAAAAAAATCTTCATCATATTCAATGTTCATATTTTTTGAAAAAGAAAATCAGACAAGTTTTTTTCGTGTTTTGTTTTCATCCTAGACAGTTTATCATCAACAAATGGATGATAAGATAAATCTTGTTACCTGTGCAGCTTTCTCTTTTACCATTTTTGTTCTATTGACGTCATTCTTGTAATCGAATAAATGTTATTCAATATGAATTATTGATTGAAAAAATGAAATCATAATCAATGTCTAACATTTTTCTTATTTATTTTTGAAATCTGATATACATATCTTAGGATGATCATCATTCTGTCACGTACATAGATAATGATAAGCAGAAATTTTCATCATGGATTAAAAATAGAAAAAAAATACACATGCATATTTCTTAATAATGGATGAAAATCAGCCATTTAAATATATAGAAAAAATTGTCCTTGAGATTCTCAATCGGTTTGTATTATTTAATATCTTTTGCGTGTAAAAAAAAGAAAGTAAGATTTATTATTACAGTCCTCGTTTCTGGTTTCATCAATGGCGTGTTCGTCGTCGGATAGAGAAATTTCATATTGAAAAATTTAATGCCAAAGAAGCAGCTTATGCTTTTCTTAAACAATATGATGGAAAAGCTTTTGTTAAAGCACAAAAAGTAATCTAATACTTTTAGTTATTTGTTTATGAAAAATATCTAATTTAGTTTACTGTTCGATATAATAATCAAGAATTACGTCTTTGTGTGCGTGATATTGTTTGTAAGTAATCTTGTTCTTTTTGGATTTGTATAATTTTAATATATTAGATGGAAAAATCGCTGAAAATTCGAAAAGAATTTCTAATTCAATGGTTGAATTTGTCTATCGAAGAATTTTATTTAGGTTTGATTTGGTTTTTTTTCGTATAATATTTTCAATAATGATTTTTATCTAGTGAAATTAAATGGCCAGCAGTAACAATAAATCGAATATGTCGAGTACGATGGGCTAATGATAATAATGAAATAGTGAATTTACCAGATAATCATAATTTATCATTTAATGAAGATAATGAACGGTATGTTGATAAATATGTATATATATATATATACTGTTTGATTATTTCTTCTAGAATTGTCCCATGCATATTATGCAATAATTCCAATGATGATCAGTCATTATCAATAGATTCTGCTTATATGAATGATATGAATCTTTTATGTGAGAATTGTCGTGCTCGTCTATCCGTTTCCAATCTAGAAAAATTGAGTAATGATTATAATTAACCATATTTTTCATTTTATGTTCAGCTTTCTTTTAGATAGAAGTCATGCTACGGAGAATGAAAATCATTTTCGAAGCTCAATTTATATTCATCTTCATCCACAGTATTATCTATCATATAATTGAAAAATTGTTTTCTTTTTCTTTTCATTATGAAATATTCATTTCTTTAATAAAAATAAATCAATTCTAATAATATTTACCTGTTTGATTCAATTCATAGAAATGAAACCTTTTTTCTTTATTTCTCATTTATAATAGTTTCAATCAATTTCGATTATATATAATAGACGATGAAATCCTATTTTTTGTCAGAAATAATAATCTTTTGAAATAGAAATTTATATTTTTGTTCGTATGAGTAATCTAATAATAAATAAGAAACGAAATTTGTTTGTGGAATGGAATAAAACTATACAAATATTATTTATTAATGGTGCAGAAGTAATATCTGTGTTTACCTTATTATTAATGCATCGCTGATTGGTTTGATATAATATTGAGGGTGGAAACTTTTTGTTGTTTCCAACCCACTCACATCCTTATCTATCTATTTGTTGACTATTCAATATCGAGTCGGAATAAAACTTTGTATATTTACTAGAAATCTTTGCTTAGATAGAAAAAAATGTATTTGATCGAGATACTTGTTTTAACTGATTGTTTCGTTTATTTTCAACATCATAAATATGTATACATTTATTATTAAACAAAACTCTTCATATATGAGTTTTTTTTGTAACATATATTCTAAATGATTAATCATAGTTTTAAAAGAGTTAGTAGATTGTCGACTTCTGTATATTAAAAATTCTTTCTAATAGATGAAATGATAGGAAAACTACAGATGTGCGAAACTTATAACATTAATTCATATAAAATACTATTCCTAAAAAAGCAGCGTGTGTTATAATATTAAAGGCAGGAGAGAAATGAATTATCTTTTTTAAATACTGATTAAACTTATTTCGTAACACAATATCGTTCACTTAGCAACTGAAAGTATTCGATCTATTCTTAAGAAAAAAAAGCAATTGCAAATAATACGTTTAAATGTGGCAGTGGTAGATGTTTAAAACGATTCATTTAAAACCTACCGAACGGCTCAACAATAGTAATGACAGTTGACTACGAAGTTATATTATTACTCAAAATCCATAAACACAAAATGATACAAGTAGAGCTCACTTAACTCTTTCAAGATTATGTAGCTAGTATTATTAAGTAATGATTAATTCAATTAAAAGAAACTCAAATTCAAACTCCCATCTTTGACTGCATTTGATCAAGTTTTATGGAAAATATTTCCTTTTGTCGTCATATCATTCTTATGATCTACTTTTTCAAATAAATATTAATTTCTTTTCATCATTCACATGTTCATAGTAATTGTATGTATTTTAATAATATGTGAACAATAATGAAGTAATTTATCGGAAAAATTTGAATTATATATGTATCTATGGATAACTGTTTGTTCATGTACGGTCCTCTGGTGGACAGATTCTCTCATCAAGCATTGTTGTTGGATAACATACTGGATGTGGATGACATCGAGGATGGTGAACACAAATAGTGTTGTTTTCGTTAGAACATTTCTTAGCCGAAGAAAGGTCACAAGGCTCTAGCTTCGCACAAGCAACCCAAAGAAAACCACAAACACCAACACCAGGTGTAACGTCCATATGGAAACAGCCGCAACCACTATTTGTCGAACATGTATCATATGCATTCTCTTTATAGCATATTTGAGGTTTCACTTGCACTGTCAATGAAAGAAATTTATAGATAAAAAGTTTATATAAAATCAGAATCGAACCTGTAATACTAAAAATGAAAATTGATCAATATTATGAGAGTAAAAATATAAATTTATTGTTTTTTTTACCTGAGAAGAATGATAATAAAAAATAACATCTTAATTTTTCTCATAATGTGTGTTGTAATAAACGACGAATGCGAGAGTATCTCTTTTTTATGTTTGATACACAGGTGATATTTTAAGTTGTATGACTTTACTTATAGAAGGCGTATTGATTAATACTTCGATAAATGGAAACTTGATATAGTTTGTGTTGTGTTTTGTTTTATGATGAAAAGAAAAATCTAATTTTCTTGCATTAAAAGAAAAAGATTAACAAGCTATCAAATATAGTTTTCAATCTGATGTATCAATAACGTACCTAACGTTAAATGGTTTTCAAAGTAAATATTAGAAAAAAAATATTTTAACCTATTTTATTTTTATTATTTCAACTGAATAACTAGAATTCATAGTTCTATATGTTACTAAGAATCGTTTTCTCAAGTAAAGATATACACGAGATGAAATGTGTTTATTCAAATTTCAAATATAAAATAAAAAATCTTGTTTTTTTGTCGTAATATGTATTAGAAAAAATTGAATCAAGTTTAATATTTATAATAATGATGTTATTTTTTGTTATTAGATATGATCAAAGTTGGTAATGGTTTAATATCAGGTAACACCATTTCTTGTCGAGCTATTGGATTATTTAGCATTGTTTCTTTTTTATAATATTCTAAAAATAAACCACCATTCATTAATTGTGGATTTAAACGAAGAAATTCATCAAAAGTAATATTTTTTGGACTTTGTGCAATAGCTAAATCAATCATTTGAATCCAAAAATATGTCATTGTAAAATGAAATGTTGTTTTTCTTGATACTTTACTATTATCGATAAAATTTTTTATTCCATCAAATATTTTCTTTACTCCTAAACGACGACCATCACGTGTTAAATAAAGCCATGCCATACGTATATGAGTTTTATGTGACCAATTTGTTAATGTACATAATTCAAATTGTTGCAAGAACTCATCATCATCGAGTTCATCAACTGGTTGTACCTGTTCTACATTCGTTGTTGTCGTCACGATATTTTTATTAACTGAAGAAGATGATGGTAGAATATTTGGTAATTGTTTAATATCTGGTAAAACAACAGATTTTTTTGCTTCGTCACTAAATAACGTATCTTTTTTATAATAAGAAAGTGGAAATTCAGTTTGATTAAGTAATTGTGGATTCATTAGTAAAAATCCTGAGAAATCATTTGTTGGATTTTTTGTTGCTTCACTTGCATAATGAACGATTTGAATCCAGAAATAAATTAACGTTTCATTTACTTCTTTTATATATTTATTAATATTATCAAATAATGATTTTATTGTTTGTTTTCTATTATGAACTTGAAAATAACTCCATATTATTCTTAATAATGATCGATGATCAAATTTTACAACTGGTAATTGATTTTTTTCAAATTTTTCAATAAATTCTTCATTTGAATCTTCATCTATTTGAGATAACCATTCTAATGATTGATCTTCATCAGGATTCGTTTTTCTTGTCGATGTAGAAGTATCGAATTTTACATTTGTCTGTTGTAATTGAGAAATAGGTTTAGATGTTAATATCGATACTAACCAATCTAACCCTTCATACAATCCAACATTTGTAAGTACAGAACATGGTTGTAAATGCCATTGTCTATTTCGAAGACTATTTAGTCTTAATTTTTCAATAATATCAACTGAATTTAATCCATTAACAAGATCGATTTTATTCAAGTAAAATAAGATAGGTATGTCACGTATTTCATCCTCCGATAGCATACGCCATAATTCGTCACTGATTTCTCCTATTCGTTCTCTATCGTTTGAATCAATAATACAAATTAATGCTTGTGTACCTTGAAAATAATGTCGAATTAGGGGACGAATTTTATCACATCCTCCTACATCCCACATTGTTAATTCAGTATTTTTATATGTAATTGTTTCTACATTAAAACCAATTGTTGAAATTACTTGGACATTTTCACCTAATTTTAATTTATAAAGAAGACTTGTTTTACCAGATGCATCTAGGCCAACTATTAATAAACGATATTGTGGTGTACCAAATAATTTAGTAAGCATTGTACGAATGTGTGATGCCATTATAAAAGATAACCTATTGTTCACTGGAAGTTTTTTTTATTAAATAACTGTGTATTCAGTTTTTGTTACTCAAGTCTTTTTTGTGGCATCAGAACACCGTTATTTTCTTTTTTTTTGTTCTGTTCTGTACACGTTGTCGTTGTTATGATGAAAAGCATTGTAACACATTGATATTTATGACGTGGCAAGCAAACAGAAAATATTTTTAAAAAAATCATGATGCATAATGTCGATATTGTGTTGCAATATTAAACGACTTTATTTTTCTTGATAGATGTTAATAAAACTTTATTCTTCATGCTGTGAAAATTAAGAGTTAGAAATAATTTTATAGAGATTTGTCAGAAAAAAAGAGATTTCTGTTTTTCTCAGGATATTACTATTGTGGCATAAATGAGATTGTTTTAGTCATATTCATTTGATTCGATTTTAAATACTTCTATAGTTTTTATATTGAATATCTCATTTATTATTATTTTTCATCGTAGATTTGATTTTAAATAATTCTATCAATTTTCAATTAATGTATTTTTTTTATATTAAACAATAAAATCTTCACAAACTAAAGATTCTAAATATGATAGTAAAATTACTATTGATGTAATGGAGGAGAAGTGAGGCTAGATAATCAAGACTTATCGGTCGATTTTGAGGACATTGGACATATCTTATAGAATACACATAATTTATTCGAAGTTTTCATGATTATTATTATATTGTAACATAATCTGTGTTTATAGAGTTGTGCATATACAAAAAATTAGAACAACTGTTATTCTTATCAAGAATATAATAATGAAAATGGTTGTTATTGATAAATAGTATATTATTTTGAGAATATTCCTACACAAAACTTTAATATTTATTGTGAATGAAATAAGTATGGGATAGGATTGTAATGATAGACATGCATGAATCAAGATAGAGAATTGAATTACATAGTTTGTAATCAATAAATTTTACACAAGGAGATATAAGTCGTCTGTTTTATAAAACTTATATAATAAATTATAAAGTATGATTACATTCGTTTTTTGTAGCAGAAGTGCAATATCTGCCGCTAAAATAAAAACTATCTCAACCGGTTATTCGTGCACGCGAGCCGATTGTGCATCGCTATCAAGTTCGTTGATCAAATATATACATCACATGAAAAACTGCGGCTTTTTCTAATACATTTTGTAATCTATTGGTTTTTTGACTCATTTGTTTTGTTGTTTACACCTTCGATCTTTATCAAGTTTATCTATTAAATTACACAATGTTATTTGATACAAAAAATCAATTGATGTTGGAAAAAATGAATACATATTTTTTGCAACGGGAATATTTTTCATCGGAAGATGAGATCATATCTTGTTTTTTTCTTGTCTTCATCATATAAAAAAAAAGGAACAGATTAGAAATTGAATTATTTCATACTCAACAAATATCTCATTCGTTTACAATGTTTTATATTATTATTACACTACTATTTTTAACAAGAGTCAATGGTCTTCTCGAATGTGACAGTAATCTTCCACAGCCTGATCCCGTATGTGCTCAATACTGCAACTCAATTAATTGTGAAGTCGGTTTTTGTTCGATGGATGCTTGCAAATGCATGAGATGTATCTTATCGGTAAGTTAAACTAGTAAATTTGAATAATAACTGATAATATAAACAAGTAGAAGCCGACACTCTATAGCATTAAGTGAAGAATACATTCCTCAATATATATAACAATATAATTAGTGGTGAAAGAACGGTTTAATAGAAATTCTCTTGTACATATAGGTATTCTCGTGAGTCGATATAATATACTGCAATAAGCTTCATATAGATATATTTAATGAACAAGCAATAAAAAGCTTCCTCTCACAACTTGCAAATTATAATTTTTTGAAGATTTTAACAAAGTTAATTGTGAATGAAAGTTGAACACAAAATTTTTAAGGATTCAATTTCAGTCAGAATTTTTTAAATTATAGTAAATACATAAGCGAAATCATTAGTTTTTTACTTTTATTAATTAATAGACAAACGCAATGACATCAATAAACAATTTTGATGGCAATAGCAACATAAATGTGATGCAACCATCACCAATAGCAAGCAACAACAATCAAGACGACTATGGTAATGATATGATGCGACCGTATCGAATAATATCAAGCAACATCAGAGACGATTATCAGAGTCAAGATGATAACAACATAAATACGATGCCACCGTATCGAGTAATAGCAAGCAACAACAAAGACAATTACGAGAATCAGAATATTAATAATATCGATACAACAACAACAACAAATATTGATGAAAGTGAAAATAGTGAAGATGACAACCAAACAATAACGATGATAATGACAACACAACCTGTGGCAACAAAACGGTTTACAGCTGCAAAAACAGCCATGATCTTTTCCATTATTGTTATAACTATTTTGTTACTTCTTATTCTAGCTGCTAAATTTATGGGAATTTATACTTATTTAAACAAGAAACGACTACACAAGGTAACTCTCAAATATTGTTTTTTGAATTATATAATTCGATTGTATTTCTTCTAGATAATACCAAAAAAATTCAAATGTTTTCAACGAAGATCACGCCATAGAAATGAATCCAGTAAGTCAGTTATTCTTATCTTCGATGAATAAATCAATTTTCTATTTAGCATCTGACATGACACCACTCAGTGGCTACACATTGTGTCAATCTAATGAAATATAATCGCAAGCAGACATACGTGTTTATTATTAACAAAACATTTTTATATCATTTTGAAAAAAACTTGGTTTAAAAATTTGTTTTTCTAATGACTAATACACGTTAGGATCATTCATTTTTTTAATAAAGTATAGTGCGTCATAAAAAACGTTATTTCATTGACTACAACCTATTAGTCTTCAGATTACGAAGAATTCAGATTTTTTTTCTTTTAGTGATTCATTAGCAAAGAAATAGATAAGACGTATGTTTTTAAGATAGGCCACGTATATCATCATATCGAGAACATATAAAATCGGTAAATATCTGGTTTTATTTAGTTAATAAATATATTCTCTAAAATGGAAGGCAAGTTACTAGTAGACGATTATCTTCATAATAAATTAAAACAAGAAATGGAAAATGTTCATTCTTTATTTGCTTCATGTGGAATGTCATCAATTCGTTGGGTACAACGATATTCACATTGTTATTCAATATTATGTTCATTTATGTGTATTCCTTTATGGATTTTTATCGTACCAATTGCATTTATACTTGATATCTGTACTTATTTGATTGTATCGATTGTTTTTATTATAAGTTTTATTTTATATATTTTTATCGCTCCATTTAAAATAGCATTTAGATTTTCATCATGTTCAGCTGCTTGGAATCCCGTTAATATTTATCGATATAGTTTACTTGAAGCATTAAAGACATCAGAATTTATTTTTATGTTTTTTCAACTGTCTTGGTTATTATATTGTGGTTCAGGTGAACTTGAAGGTGGTGCACCAATATGTTGTTCTTATATACCTTGTAAAGGATGTCGTCGTGTATGTAATCATGCTACTCATATTGAAATAAATGAGCATACATGTACTATACTCTAAATAAAACTTTCTCTTAATTAATATTCTATTTACTTCATATATAATCAGAATTAATTATAATATACATTCTTATTAAGTTTATTATTGATAAAATAAACAACAATTCCATTAAATGGATGATATAATACAACATCAATTGCAATAACGAACAATATTGATAAATACGCATTTTTAATGCTTGCGAAAAAATAAAAATAAAAATACAACATATCGACAAAAGCTTGTATATAATTGTCAAATATTATCGTACAGGAAATATTTGATCAATAGTTAAACATATTTCTAAAATAGGATTTTTCTTCAATAAACTACCTGTATATAAACGATAATTTGGACGAGCATATCGTGATGTAAAACTATAAATAATATTATCTTTATCATCGTCATAGATTTGTTTATGATAAATAACACAAATTCGTACATCAAGATGACGAAGATGTGGTAAATCAATATCAATAAGATTTTTCCAATTATTATCATCAAGCCAATCAAGCTGAGCTGTATTAAAATCAATCATTGTTAATGTTTCTAAACATTGAAAATGTTTAAGTAGTTGTCTACATTGATAAAATGAAAGATTTTTCAATCGGCGTAATACTAATGTATGTACTTGATATAAATTCACGGGAAAATCATTGAGTAATTGTTCATAAGAACTATTATGCCATAATTTAAGTGTATTAATTTGCCATGGTGGAATATTAGGTAAAATATGTTTAAGATAAAGATTATTTTCTTTTGTAGTATGTATAATTAAACCTCGAATACATGAAAAAACAATTAATTGATTAAGACGTGAATTTAAACCATAAAATATGGAATAAATATCAACTAGAGTGAGATGATTGAAAATTTCTAGAAGTATTTCATTTGGTAAATGTTCAAACGATGTATTTTTTGAAGGACGCCATTTTCTTCGCCTATATTCTTCTTTGGATAATGAAGTACAAGTAAATTTCGATCTTAAATACTGAATGAATGTTTGAGATGTATTTGACATCTAAAAAAAAATAAGTAAAGAATAGGAATAATTTGATTCAGTTTATAATTGATCTAAAGTAGCTTTCATTTGACTCAAACTAAGTTCTGTGATAGAAAGAGGCTAATGGAAAATTGTTGATTGGTTTTTATTCATCAACCAATGTGTTGAGCAAAGAACGGAGGAAAATACTAGTAATTGAGTTGTGGAATCACAGTATAATTTAAAAGATTTGTTCCGTTCTTCTCTACTGAAGATATGTGAACGAGCGACTAACATCATAAAATATCGTTTCTAGTATTAAGTGAAATTCCTTGTAAAACTATTTTTCTTCCTAATAGTATGATAGATAAAATTTCTGTTGCACGAGAAAAAGTTGCATATTTATATTTCTTTTTTTTCTCGTTACATTTACAGCTAAAATAAATTTGTTATGCAGAACTAACATATTATCCGATACACGGTCAATATAATCATATAAAAAAAAGTTCTCTTCTTCAATAAAGATATTAAGCGTATATTCGGAACCAGCATTAAATTCTAAGTAGAGTAGCGCTTCAGGATTATTGAAAATCTAAAAACTTTGAAGAGGGATAGGACAATGTCAAAAGTTTTTTTTTTCTCAAATTCAATGGAAATAATTTCTAATCCTCTACATTATTCCATACTGATCGTGAATACCACAATTAAAACTATCAAAAATGCTTTAATGCTAATTGATAGTCAAAACAAAAATGAACCTTGAATCCCGTTTTTCTTTCTCAGTTAATAGAGGTAGGGCCTAGAATGAACTAAGTAACTCTACTTATACGTAACTCATTGGACTCTATCCGATTTTGAAAGAATTAGATCGATCCGGCGTCATCTCAGTTGATAAACGACAGATCACCTGCTCGATTGATACCAAGCTAAATTACTATCGAGGTTGTTGACGATCAAAAATATACTAGGAAGCCGTGAACAAAAAAATACGTATATATACTCAATTTATTTCATTCAATTGAGTTGAGTTGAGAAGTGTTTTCTATTCATATTAAC